CCTATTAGAGATCAGCAACAGAGAATGAATGGACAGCAATGGTTGCAAAGTGAAAACTGTAATAAATAAAGACAGTTACAGGCTGCAAAGGTGAGAAATAGAAAAATGAATACTTAACAGCTCAAAGTGAACATTTCTGCAATAATGAGTAAGGCACAGCCACAGTAAGGAAAATCAAGGGCCATAGAAGTAATTTAATCCAAGATTACAGTATTGGGAATATTGTAAAGCCAGAATTAAAGCAATGCTTCAATCAGAGTAGGAGATCTATTATTGAGGTTACAGTTAAGATGGGAAGGATTTAATAAGGCTGCAGAGCCAGAAATCAGGCAGTGAAGCTATTAAAGGAGATCTTGATTAAAATTGTAAGACAATGCATGTAGTTAGAAGCACCATGGATAGAATGAATTATCCAAGGATAGGTGTTATGCAATGCAATTCATCTTTAATGCTGCAGGCAAAAGAATTTCTTGGTAAAGTCAGAGAAAATTATGGGAATTATTTATTAGGCCAAAAAAGGCAGGAAATTATCAATTTTTCTCATGATAAATGTGAAGCTTCCATTTTATCTTTGGAAGGGTAACCACTATTTTGGCCACAAAAGCACAGGAAAACCCTCCAGTAAGCAATACGATGTGCAGCAAGCTATCCACCATAATGGATATTTCTATGTACAATGGTTGATATACTTAAGCTAGGGGTAACAGATCTGGATATGGGACCTTAGCAGGACAGGTTATGGTCATTTGATATTGGTAGACCAGCAGCAATCATGTATTGTTGATACAGTTGAAGGAGTTGTACGAAAGAACTGTAGGAACCTTTTCTCACTGCAGATCAATCATCCATCAATAACTGATTGGGATCATTGAACTCAAATGGGAACATCTCAACTGCAATGACTTACAGACTGCAAGTAGTCAAAAACAGAGCCAATAGTCCTCACACCAAACAGAGAACATCCTGAAAGAATTGTGAAACCTCCAGGTCACCTGAATTTTCAATTTTTCAGATACTTGAGGGGGAGATGCAGTAGTAGTAAGTGTAATTACAGACATGAACGTAGAAACATTAATCATGGGAGTAAAACCTTAGGGGAGATGTTGCATAAAGTAATGGTTCTGGAAGAGTTTGATTCTTTGATTGATTTGTTTATTGCCACATGTACCGAAGTACAGTGAAAAGCTTTGTTTATGAGCAGTACAGGCAGATGATAGTAAGCAAGGATGTACAGATCAAAAAGACTTAGGCAGAGGCATACAATTACATTGCACAGGGCATGCACTAGATGGGGTCAAAATTAGTGGGATCAGCATTATTTGAGGTTAGAGAGTCCATTAGAAGAACATTATCGATAGCTTTTACAGATTTAGAAGTTAGGTTTAAAAGTGTAGAACGGTTATAAGAAATGTTAGAGTTAGTCCTGGTGTAGAGAGCTCTCAAGGAGTTGCATGGTGTCTCCACCATCTTGGACAATAATATGATGCTAAAGACTGCATTAAGTGACACCCAGACTGATGGTATTCGAAGGACTTGGGTGGGGAAAGACAGAGCAGGTTAGGATCTCAAAGGCAGCTGTACTGTTATCGTAGGTCTCCCACTTTTATTCACATATATCCACATTACAACCACATTATATTTTATCTGCTATGAATTTTCCCACTCTCATAACCTGTCCAAATCAGACTGAAACATGTTTGCAACTGCCTCATAGCTCACCCAGCTTTCTTTTGAGATCTTCAAGTAAGGAGGAAACCAATGTTCCAATGGAATAAATGGGGTTAATAGACTGCCTCTTAATTTCTGACATCTAATCTGGCTGAAATGATGGAGTAGAAACCTACCAGCTAACTATACAGATTTCACCTCAAAGAAATTTGTTTGATTTCAATCCTATTTCTAGTGGGTATTCATCACCACCTAATTTAACATTAATTGGCACTTACTAATCGGCACTTAACTTCATATCATTCACAGAAAAACCACAGATAGTTCCTCTAGAATGGATATACTGGCCCTGGAGCAAGTCCAGAAGAGATTAACAAGAATGGTCCCAGGAATGAAAGGCTTAACAAATGAGAAACATTTGAGGACTCTGGGTCTATACTCGATGGAGTTTAGAAGGATGAGGGGGGATCTAATTGAAATTTACAGAATACTGAACAGTCTGGACAGAGTGGAGATTGGGAAGATGTTTCCATTAGCGGGAGAGATGAGGGCCCGAGGGAATAGCCTTAGAGTAAAGGGATGACCTTTAGAACGGAGATGAGGAGAAATTTCTTCAGCCAGAGAGCGGTGAATCTATGGAATTCATTACCACAGAAGGCTGTGGAGGCCAGGTCATTGAGTACATTTAAGATGGACATAGACAGGTTCTTGATTGTCAAGGGGATCAAGGGTTACAGGGAGAAAGTGGGAGAATGGGATTCAGAAACTTTTTAGCCATGATTGAATGGCAGAGCAGACTCGACTGGCCAAATGGCCTAATTTCTGCTCTAATGTCTCATGGTCTTATCGAAATCAAAAATGATTTTGATTGGTTAGGTGTGATAAGATGTATTCTTCTTAGGTTACCTAATGGGGAAAAGTGAAAGGAATGTCACTTGTATCAAACTGTGCTGTATTTGGCCTGTGAATCTTTACAACAACACAAAGTTCTCAAAATGGAAAATATTCCAACATCTTTTATTTTGATGACCTCACCTGTCATAAATACATTCAACATTTGAAATTTCTAGGAAATAGATTTGACAGAATAATACGCTACCGAGGAAGATTAGAGTTGAAGGATTTAAATTAAACACAGATGAAATTAAAAATCTTGCAATGTTAAACTTTATTCCATGATACAAGTACACTCATTCCCACATTCTATTTAAGAATACCAAATTTAATTGTACATTTTTTGCCTGAACAAGCATCTCTTACTTTATAACATTAACATTTATAAAAATAGCAAAAACAAATGGTTTACTATTAACAGTAAAAGATTACACAACTGTTGATTTTAGAAGTACATGCCGTAATTACCACAGTTTCTTTGAATGAGGCAAACCATAGAACAATGGAATGGGCATCCACTTGATAATGTGGAAGATTGCCTAATATACATATCAAAAAAGAATTAGACTAAATCTAATCTGGGAAATACCACATTGTCAGGCTCCTCCCATTGTGAGAAGTGTAGAACAGTTATATTCTTAGCCCTTTCACATCTCTCCTGATTAAATGGCTGCCAATTTGCTACCCCACTTTATACTGCTAGTGAATTTGTACTGCCACCCACTTTATACTGTCACACAATGTCAAAAGTAGCCCCAAGTGGTTTTGTCTTGAATAAAGTGGCTAGCTAATTTTGATTTTACATTTGCTTTTGAGAACTGAGAGACAATTTCATCTTCGGTTGTTCAACCATCACTAACTAACAACGTGCAGGGCAAATATAGGGAAATTCCCTATCATACAAATCAAATGTCAATGAGGATGGACCTGCCTTATTTTCATTTTTACTAAAACTCTAAGAGAAGACAAATAATTATTTTAGTGGACTGCAGCAAGGCTTCAAATCAGTGCTAGGACAGATAAAACTTAATAGCTCCTCACAAGACTTAAACCGGGGGGAAAATCCCACTAAGATGTGTGAAAATGCAGTCACTTTAAAAAGGTTATTTTGACCTGGGCTTTTTTTGAAGAGAGGTTGTAAAGACAGAGGCGTTGAAGAGTCTAGGGAGTAACAGTTTAACAATGGAAGGGGAGTGGCCAGTTCTCTCATGTCAGGATTTTTCTAGGTTTTTTTTTAATGTGTAGCAGTCACAAAATGTTTTGAGTACCAGAAGTGTTGGAAGCTTCAGTAAAGGGTTCCTGTGACTTTCTCTGAAATCTCTCTCTGGATGTTGTTCCCTCCTGCCCACAGAAATCTGTGTTTGAATTTACCTTTCTACCAAGGGTTGTGGTTATGGGATGTTACTATGTTGGAACAGTTAATTAGTTAAGTTGCTGTATCGGGTCGGTTAGGTTTCCCAATAGTTAAGTTACTGTAAATTCCACTTTCTTTTGTTCATGTTTCAACTGTAGTGTTTAAATAAATTTTATTTTGCTTAAAACCGAGTGGTTTGACCAGTTGCGACACACCTGGAACACTCACTTTGTATCCAGCTTTAAAATAGGAAAAAGTTAGGGTCTAGGCTACCTTCTTAAAATATTTTAAAGAGGTCTGGCCTGGTCCATAATAGATGTGAGCTCATTTAGAACTCACGGTGAGTTAAACTTCTGTTTATAGCAGCAATTTCTCTGCCATCTATACTTTTGATCTATTTTTGAACAGTTAGGCCAACAACAGAATGGAAAAATTAGATCTCTGGCCCCAGTAGCACCCCTCCACGACCCTCACATGTGTGATTCCAAACGTACCTCTCCTCTGTGATGTATCCTCCATGCTTTTGTATTAACAGATCCCTTTCCCTTCTTTTAGAAAATTTGTCTGGGGTAAAATGAAGTCCTTGTGTTTCTCAGGGGATCCCATTGAAGTTAGAATGGGTGATTAGGACAATCCCTACCAATGTTTGTGTTCAAAAATAATTTCTCTTTATAGAAACACAGATCTAAGTAATAATCATTTTGAAATAACACTTCAACCACTCAGTGGAATGTAGAACATTCACAAATAATTAATTAAAACACACTAAAACTGACTTAAGAAGAAGCAGTCAGCTATAATCTGAAAACTACTATTTTATTGGACAATTTTATGAATGGTTTAGCATGTTTGAAACATAGTCCTCTTTCTCCTATTTCAACAAAGGAATTTAAATAAAATTAACTCTGTTAAGTGATTAAAAGAAGAATTTAAAATTAGCATGTCAAGTACTAGTCTAACCACTCACAATAAAGTATGATTTTTGTGTATAATCATTTGATCAGTATTGCACAGTACAAATAACAAAACTGAGAAAAATATATTTTGGACATCTGAATGGCGATCATTATGAAGAAAATACTCCTCAAAAAGAGGTAGACTCAGAAGAATCTCTCATGCTTATGATTTTTGCAAGATTTTTTCGAATTGCATCCCAACCTAGATGGTGAGAGTACTTCTGTGCATTCAGTGCTGGGACTTGCACTTTTGTTCCTACTGTCTCAGTAAGAATTTCTTCAACCCTGTAATAAAAGAAAACTTATATTAAATAAGTGAAATTTGCATTTGAAATGAAACATGAATAAGTAAAATGCTGAAATGCCATTTTTGGATTACCCAATATACCACTTGTCATCATCAAAGCCCAGAGATCTTCCTGGAACTCCCGAGCGGATTCTCAGAAATACTGGAACTCGTCGTTCTAGAAGCAGTATGGTGGCTGCAATCTGAAAAAGATGACTTAGCAATTTAATTTCTAATCCACGGACTGTTCCTATTAATATCATTTTAGGCTCTAATCAAAAGCAAATCTTAAAAATTGGAGAACGTGATTACAAATCCTGGTCCTCCCCCTCATATCCTCACCAACATTCACATCATTCCACAGTAATCCAACTCCATATCAACTCAAAGGTAGTAGAGTCCTAATTTCATGACAGAAATAACTGAATCTATCAACATGCACTATTATCAAAGTGGAATTTGCACAGCAACTGCTACCATCCAAACATGTCCAACTAAACAGTGGATTCAGGAAGTTTCTGGCTGAATTATCCCGCTCCTACAAAAGCTTTACTGCAACAACATTTTGTTGAAAGATAATGAGTTTTAAAAAATGGTATTAGAAGTTGTAGACTTTACTCATTCGAAACCCACCAAATGTGGGGCCAGATAACATTAGAGCTGCTGCATTCCAATGTATCTTAATATCTGCCAAACAACTTCTTTGATACTGAAAATTAACTTTCAGAAGAATGAAAACTCAATATTTTGGATTTAGATCATTGTTTAAGGTAGAAATGATAAAAATTAAGTGTTGAAATAATTATTTTTGCTTATTCTTTCTGTCTGAATTATCTCTTTCTTCACCTCTAATTCACTTCCTGTAGGTGACATTATATTATGTTCAATATTCTAATTTACACTTCCTGATTTGGACTTTTTAAACTTTGATCCTGACTGGAATTTGGTAAGCTGGGAGGTCATGCAGAGTTTTAGACAACCTGCAGTTTTGGACTTCTGACTTCATAGCGTGTTTTTGTTTTATTTGTAGGATCCTGATCAAGAAGTCAGCCTGATCAACAATTTGGCTTTCAGACAAGGCGGGAGCATTCAGGCTGTAGAATCAGGTAAATAGTTTGCAACTTCTGAAAGGAGGAAGAGTGAATATCTGTTTGGGAGGGGGGATCCAAAGGAGGAAGGCAATTTTGTGGAAAGTAATTTTGTCTCCTATTAAACATGCTAAATGCAGTAAGGAAACTCGCCTTCTTCATGAAGCTGCACTCACTTCCCTTCAGCTACTGTTTCTTTTTGAAGGCAGAGAAACCTGAGCAGCCAGGGTAAAACTTATAAAATAACTCAAATCTGAGACTGCAGGTCTCTGTCAAATATTTAAATAGCTCACCTGCCTTCAGGGAGTTGGTCGCCCATTCATTTTCCTGCCTCAGTTAAAACTGGAACCAGGCTGATTCGAGGCAGAATAGGTAATATTTGAGACTTTTAGAATTTCAAAATCTCATCTGACCCCAACCATAGGTTTCAGGGTTAAATTTCACTCCAATATGTCTTAGTAAGGATTGTTCAATCTGATTTGTTAAGGAAAAAAATAGTTGCTTGTTAAGGTTTTGACTTCTCAGTGGAAGGCATCATTGCATTCTGCCTTTTGAATAATTGTAAGTCCCAGTGCTGCCAAAGTATGTGGAAAGTCTGAGGACAAGTACAAATGCAATGAAGAGCCTACGCCTTTCGTTTCCTGCCGACTACAAAACCTGTACCAGTATATATCTACGGAGGGAATAAAAACCAGGAACACATTCATATATCATTATAAACGGAAAATATTTGGTTAAAGTTTTCTGCATTCTTAGAATGGCAATACAGCTTATAAACAATAATAACATGTATCCAGTAAACTGTATTACCTAAAATGGTGAAAACAGGATTTTTTTTCCCTTTACAAACACAATTATGTAACTCAGCTGATTATTCAACCAAGGGTGGGGTCCACATTTTATATGCACAGGCATATTGTAACAAGATTTAAGTGATGGCAAAATAGATGATTTGTTAGACCTTGGAACCATAAGCTAAATCCAATTGTAGAATACCCTGCTTCCATTCTAGCTGTGATCATCTGTATCGGTACACATTAACGATTAAACACACCAGCTTCCTGATTGTGACAAACTAGCACTATAACATAGAGTGCGTTGGAAGAGAATTGATTAAGAATATGCCACAATTTTGTCTGTTAGCACTGCACTATTAATCAAATAATTGTGGTCATTTTATATATGAGTGCTGAACAATATTATTTATTTAGCTGGATAATAAGTAAATTCGTACTCAGGGTTTTTATGGTCCAGTGGTAGTGTCCTTACCTAAGAGGCCAAAGATCAAGTCCCACTTGCTCCATAGATGTGCCATAACATTTCTGAATAAATTGATTACAAATATTTAGGCATGGGGAACAAATGTGATATTGCAAAGTAGGTAAATAATGCAAAAAAAAAATTTGTACCTATACCAGACTGGACAATTCCAGACATGCTTATTTTCTCTGCAAAATGGCTGTATAATTGTAAATCAGGCATTGAACTTAGCAATTTCAAAAGACATTAGTTGCAGATGAGGAATTCCCTCATGGGAGAAGACTGGAAAAATCTATTCTAAGTTCTGACAGGACGTTCTTCATATTGATTGAAATTTTATCAAAATTGATTAACTATATTGTATGCTTTCTCAGGTAAATTAAATATCATGGTACTTATGTTTAACTTGCAGAATTCATCAATTAGCCTCTGTAGACTACTGATTCAAATACCGCTCTTTACACCCATCTCTGTATTATTAGAAATGGGCCAATGAATTTGATTACTTCCTACACAGCTGCTTATTACAAATGTCTTAACTGCATTTATAAAACATAGCTTACCTGCACTTTCCAAAGTTCCTCTCTTTCATATGCAATTCTCCAATATGTGTCATCCATCATTGCAATCAACAAATTTAACAGTAGAAGATACACAAAAATCATGTATAGAACATATCCAATGTATAGGATACTGGGAGTTGGCTTATCATATGGAACAGGAAGATCAATTAAGCCCATCATTAGCTCAACCGTGGTGTACATTGTCATTGGAAAATCCCGGAAATATGGATAATTTCTCAAATCTAGAGTCTGAAACATGACATAAAAAGCTGTAGAATAAAGACAAAAGACAACACCTTGTGAGGTTTGTTTTCAATTGAAATGTCAATAGTGAATAGTGTAGCATAATAAATTTTAGAATGTTCTATTGGATGAAAAGGAAGGGAAAATTTATACACAATAGCTGAGGCCTATTATAGTGGAAATGTGTTCATTGACAATGGAATATAAACACCTCCATATTATAACTTCTGATGGAACTAGAAAGTATTCATAATGTTTTTCATTACAGAGAATATGATCATACAATTACCTTTTCCAATTCTGATAATTAATTTCATGCACAGGAATTCATCATTCTGCATTGACATATCACATTCATTCTTTATTGCCTGGGGCCCTTTTGAATGAAATCACGCTAAAGAAGATTGATATGGGGGTAAAAAGACTTATTTCTTTTTGTTACTTCGCACAGATATTGGGTTTAAAGCTTCCTGTTTTACTTATTCTTACAACCTAAAATATTTTTATTAAAATGAAGCACATACCAGATGTAAATCCAGTGATGCAGATTAGTACCAGACAGCACCATTGCATAAAATCACCAAAAATTATCTGTAAGGAAATAAAAATCCACAAACATCATTTTTAGGAAATCGCGTCACTTTAAGAGCTATTTATATTTAAGTGGTGACTAAGTAATGAAAACCCTAAACAGAATTTTGAAAAATATATTTTAGAAATTAGTTGAATTTTTACTTCAATTTTTCAAGACAAATAGCAACATTGAATGAAATGTTGCCCAGGGATTTGTCATACTTTATTCTTTTTCTCTTCTTGCTGTCTCTCAACCTACACACTCCACGTAAAAGCTGTAAATATTTTCACCAACTATTCAACTCTCTTCTTTATCACTTGTCTTTCCCTTCTACTTAAAATGAAAATGTGAAGAAATTTGCAGAAGCGTCTACCAATTGAGGAACAGATAGCCAGTCTTCCTGAAAGTTTACTGTCACTTGATCTGATCAGATCAAATATCAGGTAATAGGTCGGCAATAAATGTACTCTAAAAAAGTTAGGCTAATTGATGGGTGTTTACATTCATGGTGTATAATTAAATAAAAATGTGTAGGAGTTAGCGTAAGCAGAGGGAAGGGCAATATCAGCTGCCAACTCAGTTGCATGAGATTTAGATGCTGACATCAAGAAGCCAGGCCACTGCAAAAGGCAGATGTGCAGTCATCAGGAATTATTACATTCATGGATATACTGCCCGAGAGCTTGTGTACAATGCCTAACTGCTTGGAGCAATTCAGTTAAATATGTGCCAAGGCTTTGTGCAGAGAATGAGACCATTCTATAGGATATAATATGATTAGTCAGCTCCACAAAGACAATGGTAGTGTTTCTCATAATTGAAACTCTGCTAACAAATCTGATAACATGAATTTTTGGTTCATATCCTATTCCTTATCTATAGTTGCCCCTGATGACATTATCCAAAGACATTTGGATCAGATTCCACACATATGACACCTAGTTCTACGTCTCCACTCTTTACATTAACTCCTTCACTGCCTCTTTGTTTCCCTGATTGTCTGACATCCACTTCTGAATGGAATAAATGTCCTCTGATTAAACACTGAGAACATTAAGGCCACCACCACAAACTCTGTTCACATGCTGCTACTTCCATCCCCCTTCTGGCCATGGTCTCAGGTTGAAGACATTGTTCACACACTCAACATTCTATTTAATCCTGAGTTCAGATTTCAACCTAAATCCTGTCCATCTCAAAGTCTGCTCATTTGCTCCTCTGAAACATTTACCAATTTGTGGCATTGCCATGTACTAGCTGCTGCTGAAATCTTCATCCACACCTTTGTCACTTCCAGTTCAACTATTCCAATACTCCCCTGTCTGATCTCCCATATTCCACCCTCCAGAGACTTCAGTTCTTCCAAAACTACATCCTAACTCATGACAAGTACCACTCACTCATTATAACTGTACTTACTGATCTACACTTAGGCATTGTTTTCTGTGTTGAAGATGGTATATAATTGCAAGTTGTTGTTACTTAAAATGTTTTCGAAATTATATTTACTACTCAAGCTCCTCAAACTGTCAGTGGTAATTGAGAAAGCAACAAAAAATGCCAGAGCTCACTGGGATCATAGCAACATATTTGAATTTGATAATAACACCTCTGGTGGGAGCGAGATCTAATTGCAAATGTGATGGGAGTGAAATGTTCAGGAAGATCCATCAGTGGAAACAGTGAAATACAACTTGTTGGTAACCAGGGACAATATAACTGTTTTCAATATGTGCTAAAATGTTTCCATCCTGGATAAATAATTTTAAATGGCTTTCCCACCTTTTGAATCATAATGGAAAACTGTCCAAGCATTTTAAAACCTCTCGCAAAATAGATGGTGTTGCACCAACCAATGATCAGAGCCAAAGAAATTGGAACAGCTTCTTCAACATTACCGAGGATTCTCATGATAACTGCCACAGCAATCAATAGGGAGTAACAAACCCTGGAAAAATGGGAAACTCATGATTTATAAAAATTTAAACCTTTTTGAAAAAGAGTAGTTTAATAATTTTATATATTTGTACATACAATGGGGTTTTGCACCATATACTCTCAATAAATATAACATTTACACTCTGATTAAGGGGTGTGTTTTGCCATGGTGACCCACATTGGAAAGGTAACGTACTGTCCTCACGGAATTCCATAAGACAAGCTGCTCTTCATTATTTGAAAACAGTCATGTTTAAAAGCTGAATATCTCCAAGATGCAAAACTATGGCTGAAGTTTTGCATTGGACTGGGCATGGGACGCACTATTTTACCCGATTCATAATCCCATTGCTGTTTCAGAGTTCCCAATTGACCAGTTTTTATTCCTGCTCAGAAGGTGGATTAATGATAGAGATGGTACTGCCAGCTCTGAAGGCACTGCAAACAAACTCTGTGGCAGCCAGAAATGGGATGAGATACTGGAACTAGGAAAGCTCTGATGTGAATCCCGCCACCTCTGATGCGACCACTTGAAGGTGGGACGAGTGAGAATCCAGCTGACACTGCACTGGTAAGTCAGCTCTGACCCTTGTCATATGAACAGCGAACTTTTCTCTGATAGTATATGATGACCAATTGGTTTTCAACTATGGTAAAGTCGACCGAGTATGAACTCATTCAGTATAAACTGCAAATTTCTTGCTGCCTGATTCCATTCGTCAGATTACTGCACACAGCACTGACTTAATGCAGGTACTTGTACTCAAATGTCTTTAGTAATTGTGATAAATAGTGTAGAGTAGGGTTTACTGTCTACATGTGGCCTTCAGTCATAAGATCTCTAAATCCCAGGTATTCTGTGAAGTTGCAAAACAAATGTGCCAATTGTCCTGACATTCCAAGCTACCTGGCATTTCATACCCTGGGTCACAGGAGCAGCAGTAGGCCATTTGTACCTGTTGATCTCCATACCAGTTTCACATGCCATCCCCATATCGCTTGGTGCCATTTTTTCTAGAAACTAATTGGTTTTGTCTATTATATACAACGACTGAGCTTTCACTGTCCTCTGGACAGAGAATTCAAAAGATTCACCGCCTTTTGAGTGAAGAAATTCTTCCTCATCTCTGTCTTCTCCTTATTCTGAGGCTGTGTCCCTGGGTTCTAGTTCAAGTGTATGAATTCTTCCCTGGAGTGATTAGCTAAGCTGATTGGAAAGCCACACATGGCAACAGCAGGAGTGCATACATGAACAGTGTGAGATTCTGTATAAGTCACACTCAGTAACCTGGACCAGTCTGCTGATAACAAAAGTACTGATCTCCACAGAGTATATAAAGAGCAATATCCCAAGCCAGGACTCTTGCAATGGTGGCATATCAATAGCTGCAGGAGTTGGTAGCTGCTCCCCACTAAATAATTCCTCTCAGCTGTCTGAAAGCTTACCCAATTCCCTGTTCAGTGATGACCCACATCTGAAAGTAGCTCACATTATAAAACTATTGGGGCAGCAGGGGCTATCAGAGTTGTGAGGAGCCATCCCCTTAAAGGATAAACCTTATCACTACATAGCAAGCATGTACCTGGGCAATAGCTTGGAATAACTGAGGTAGGTACAACTCTTACAGGATAATTGCAACATGCTAACTGCTCGTAAATTGAGTGCACACTTAGAGGAATATCATCCTGTTGTCACATATGAGCTAAATGTTGATAGAATGGAATGCTTTCTAATCTATCAATCTCTCTGGCTGTAGGGAATATCCTAATGGTCAGATGTGTGCAATTGATTACTCCTTGTACCTGAGGGAAGTTGGCTATTGTGGTGAAATCTGTTGCTCTCTGCTCCTAGGAGTCTGCATCTATTCGAAAGGTGGTGAAGTCTGCCATCTGTGCAAATGGGCTTCCCATAGCTCTGGTTATACAGGAGTATACTACTGCAGCTGCACAGGCCTGCCTGACCCAAAAGAAATTTAGAAACTACATTGCCTGGAAGAGTGGTGGAGGTAGGTTCAATTGAGGCATTTACAAGGCATTGGACTAACTTTACTGTCAATCACATTCTCTAACTAAATTCCAATATGCTATCTAGATTCACTTAGAAAACAAAAAGGCAAAAATAAAAGACTATACTTACAACAGCAATGGAAATGGCCCTCCTATAGACGTATTTCCTAAATAATTTCTTGGACCAATCCTGTACAGGTAAGGAATCTGGAAATGAAAATAAATAGAGTATTGAGTCCATCATGAGCAATTGAATAGGAAAGGTATAGCTCTTGTGGGAAATGAATCTACTTCATGGGTATTTCAGCTTGCAATTGTATTACTTTAATTTGTCTTGCTAATTCTCAATGACACATAATCTTGATCATCCCAGCGGGGTCCATTATCTTAGATGACTGGTTTGTTTTGAGCGGTTGCAACAGCATGGGTTCAATTCCTACACCAGTTGTGGTTACTATGAAGAACTCTCCTTCTCAACCTCACCCCTTGCCTGAGGCATGGGACCCTCAGGTCAAACCACCCTCAGTCAGCTCTGTCTACTGAGGAAGTAGCCTTTTAATCTGGTAGGACTATGGCAAGTTCACCTTACCGTTTACATTAACCAACTTGAATAGATTTTACAAAACTGTTTCAATAAAGCTGTAGAAATATCAGTTCCATTTTACTTCTCACAGATACATAGGAACATGGGAGAAGATGTAATCTCCATTCAGCCCCTGGAGACTACTACTATTAGCAAAGACAAAACTGAATCAATTACTGAATCAGGAGAATCTATAATGGGAATAAAGGAAAGGCAGAAAAGCTAAATTAGTACCTGTGTCTGTCTTTACAGAGCAAAATATAAGGGCCTCAATGCATTAGATCCTGTGTTATTCCCATGTTCCTTCATGTTATTAAGAACTAGAAATCTTACAATCTCTCTTGAATTTAATTAATGACTGAGTTTCTACAGCCCTCCGGGTTGTGGAACTCCAAAATTCACTATCCTATGAGTGATGATGTTCCTCTTCATTTTTGCTACTAACCTGCTGTGTGAGACTTTAGCAAAAACCTTTTGAAAATCCAAGTAAAGCACATCCACTGTCACTTAACCCATCTATTTCAACGCTCTAGGGTAAAGATCATTGGGTCCCTAGGATTTGTCAACTTTTAATCCCATTAACTTTTCCATTACTACTATTTTGTTTACAAATATCAATTTCTTTCAGATCCACACTCTCACTAGTTACTGGAATTTAATTCTTTTAGGGAGAATCCTTATGTTTTAGTCTGTAAAGACAGACACAGGTAATAATTTAGCTTTTCTGCCTTTCCTCTATTCCCATTATAGATTCTCCTGATTCAGTAATTGATTCAGTTTTGTCTTTGCTAATCTTTTCCTTTTCAAGTCTCAATGGAAGAATTTACAATTCTTTTCTATATTTCTTGCTATTTTACACTCTCAGGTTACTCTCTCTCCATTTATCAATTTCTTGACTCTCCTTTGCTGAATTGTAAAATTATTTCAAACACTAGACTTACAATTCATTTGGCAAATTTATAACCCTCCTACTTAGATCTAATACACTAAATTAACTTTCCTTGTTAGCCATAGCTCTCTCACTTATTCTGTTGGGTACTCTTGTCCAAATGAAATGTATATTCTTTTGAAAGCCAGGCAGATATCTTTAAATACTAGCATTTGACCTCCCAAAATACATCATCTCACACTTGTCCAGATTAAACTCAATCTTCCATTTCTCTGACCAACTTTCCAATTGATCTATATCCTGCTATGTCCTTTGATAACCTTTCTCACATTCACAACTCCACCAATTTTTGTGTTGTCTCCAAATCAGACCGCCTAGATTTTCATCCAAATCAGTTATATATACCACGAATATCAGAGGTCCCAGCACTGATCCATGTGGAACACCACTGGTCGCTGACCTCCAGTGAGAAAACCACCTCTCCACATCTACCCTGTCTTCTATGACTAAGCCAGTTTTAGATCCAACTTATCAACTCATCGTAGATCCCATGTGACTTAATATTCTGGACCAGCTTACCAGAGGAACCTTGTAAAGTCCACGCATTCAAGATTCACTGCTCTTCCCACATCAATCATCTTTGTCACCTCCTCAAAAAAACTCAATCATATTTGTGAGACAAGACCTCCCCCACTCAGAGCCAAACAGACTATCCCAAATCAGTCTTTTCTTTTTATTCCAAATGTGAATAAGTCCTCTCCCTAAGAGTCTTCTTCAATAATTTCCATACACTGATGTAAGGCACACTGGCCTATAATTTTCTGGATTATCCCTATTGCCCTTCTTAAACAAAGGAATTACATTGACTATTCTCCAGTCCTCTGGGACCTCACCTTTGGTTAAAGAGGATACAAAGATTTCTGTCAAGGTCCCAGCAATCTCCTCCTTACCTCCCTCAGTATCCTGGGATTGATCCCATCAGACCCTGGGACTTAATGGCCTTAATGTTTTTCAAGACACCAAACACCTCCTCCTTCTTAATATTGATATGCCCTAAAATATTAACATACCCCTCCCTCATCTTACCATCATCCACGTCCTTCCCCTTAGTGAATACTGATGTGAAGCACTCATTAAGGACTTCACCCACTTCCTCTGGCTCCACGCATAAATCCTCTTCTTTGTCCTGTGGACAAGAGTGGACCTACTCTTTCCCCAATTATCCTCTTGTTCCTAATAAACATACAAAATGCCTTGGGATTCCCCTTAATCCTACTTGCCAAGGATATTTCATGACCTGTTTTAGCCCTCTTAATTCCTTGTTTACGTTCTTTTCTGCTAGCTTTATATTCCTCAAAGTCATGTCTGATTTCAGTTTCCTAAAACTTTTTTTAATCTACAGAGAGATCTAGGGAGAGATCTAGAAAGATCAAATCCATAGCTCCCAGAAAGTGGCAAGACAAGTCAATAAGGTGGTAAAGAAGGCATACAGCATGCTTGCCTTTGTTGGTCGGGGCATTAAGTATAAAAGTTGGCAGGTCATATTGCAGCTGCATAAAGTTTTAGTGCAGCCACATTTGAAGTATTGTGTGTAGTTTTGTTTGCCATACTATAGGGAAAGATGTTGAGGCTTTGGAAAGGGTGCAAAAGGGATTTACCAGGATCTTGTCTGAATTTAGAGTGTGTTAGCTATAAGGAGAGGTTGGACAAACTTGAATTGTTTGCACTAGAGTGAAGGCTGAGGGGCAATCTGACAGAGGGAGAAAGTTTAAATGAGTTGTGCGAGGCAAGATTTTTTTTTAGGCAGAAGGTGATAGGTGCCTGGAATTCACTGCCAGGAGAAGTAGTAGAACCAGACACAAAAGCAACATATAAGGGGCATTTAGACAGAAACACGGTCAGAGAGAGAGGAGCAGATATGGACCATATGCAGGCAGATGGGATTAGTTTAGAATGACATCATGACTGGCACAGACATGGTGGGCCAATGTGTCTGTTACTATGCTGTACTGTTCTGTGTTCTATGTACTAACTGTTGCCTATTCATCATCAAACCTCTCAATGTATTTTTCCAACCCACCATGCCAATTTTTCCTCATATCTTCATAATGTCCCTTGCTTAGATTAAAAAACCCAGTTTCAGGTTGAACTACACCTTTTTCAAATTCAATGAAAAGGTCTATCATACTATTGTCACTATTCCCTAAAGGTTCTTTTACAGCAGGAATATTAATTAGCCCTCAAAGTAGTTCACGGTATTCCATGATCATTCTGTTTTTATTTACTATAATGACTGTAGATACATGGGATCCATTATAAAAGTGCTCAGCTGATATCTGGACAGTGTGCACAACTGCCATCGGCTAACATTGTGGAGGGTAAGTTCGATTTTGAAAGATTTTTAAAAGGACCTAGTTTTCTGAAAGAATGCTGAGATGTCAGACAGTCTTAAAATAAGCACGTCATGGTTGCTTCTAGGAAAGAAAAGGCTTACAAACATAGTGAGATCATGTAGCTAGTCATAAAAGGGGTGACCAGTGAGAGAGTGGAATCCTTTGTCATCAATGTGCATGACAATACAGATCTTGCAATCAAGTCTGTTAGTGATGATTCCTTAGGCTTTCAGAATCTTACCACTCTATTAAGGCATATTTGTCTGTCATATCATCAGCACTTATCCTTGGGAAAGGGGATGAAATAGCTTTTTAAATCTAAATAATGCTGTCTAAAATATTCTTGAGTTGAGCAAATTGGCTGCAAAAATACTGCAAATGTCCACTGTTTAGCATGAAAAGGTCACATGATTGTTGCAAATAATGGCAACTTTCACGAATAATGACAATGTGATATCTGTAGTGGATTTGGACAGCACTTTTTGTAATGTAAAATTCAAAGATCATTTTCGTTATTGGTTTCTTGTGATGACCTCAGCTTCTAAAGTTCTGTTTTGATATGGAATAAGCAGCCAGAGGGTAGCTCAGTGGTTAGCACTGCTACCTCACAGCGCTAAGGATGAGGGTTCAATTCCACCCTTGGGTGACTGTCTGTGTGGAGTGCGCACATTCTCCCTGTGTCAGCCTGGGTTTCCGCCAGGTGCTCCAATTTCCTCCCACAGTCCAAAGATGTGCAGGATAGATGGATTGACCATGTTCTTCAGAGTATTGGGTTGGGCCAAATGGCCTGTTTCCGCACTGTAGGAAATCTATGGGAAGCAGAGGGAGCATTTCACCTTTAAAGTAGTGTGGTGCAATGGAGAGCATGTTGGACTTCTATGCATGTGTTGACAGTGCTTTTCAAAGGTCATGGTTTTAAGTCCCACCAGAGTCAAATTTTTAGCGGTGGCTCAGTGGTTAGCACTGCTGCCTCACAGCGCCAGGGACCCGGGATCAATTCCACCCTCGGGTGACTGTGTGGAGTTTGCACGTTCTCCCGGTGTCTGTGTGGGTTTCCTCCCACAGTCCAAAAATGTGCAGGTTAGGTGGATTGGCCATGCTAAATTGTCCACAGTGTTTAGGGATGTGCACCACAGGAGAGTTATAGGGGAATGGGTCTGGGTGGGATGCTCCAAGGGTCAGTGTGGACTTGTTGTGCCGAAGGTCCTATCCCCACACTGTAGGAGTTCTATGATAAAATAAAAATCATTTAGTCAGTATATTTTGCTCTGGGAACATACGTGCTTAGGTGCAATACATCTTCAGTTACTCTGCAGCTAACTGAATAAGTTCTAGTCATATTATGTTTGGCACTGGATTCCTAGGGTCCAAAACTCTGCCAGTATTCAGATTAATGATTGTTAACCAGCTTTACTACAGTTTTGAGTCTGGGAACTTATGAAAGGATTCACACTGTAAATCAACTTCCTGCCATTTTATTGCATTGGGCATTGGAATTCCAAGTTGCTTCCTCACTAATATTTAATAAATCTGATCTGTGGACAACTTAAACTTTGTTCCCACAAACCTTTGAAGCTTTAGCTCTTCAGTAAATTGCATCATTTTCTGACTTGGATAACAGTCTTAGTATTGAAGACTGAAAATTAAATATCATCTCAAGAATTCTGCTGATTTATCTTCTTTAAATTTATTTTTGCCAAATAGCTGGCTAGAGTGAATAGTCAGATAATTTATTTCACCAGTTGAAGCTCTCCAAGTAAATTGTACAGCGTACCATTTAGCCTTAAGGTGTACAGAACAAAATATTGTGACTTACCTCACTTATAAGTATTACCAAAGCTCCTATGATGGTTATTAATTCACCCACAAGTCTCAAATAGTCTTCCTTTGTTTGATAGGATTCCTAAAGTGAGTTTTGAAATGTAATTGTTAATAAATCCAAAAGTATAGCTGTTTACCCAGTACCATTCTTATTCCTAAAATTAGTTAATTTGGGTTCACATGTAAGGGCCAAAAATAGCTAAAGAGATTGCAATATATGATTAACTTGAGTCCATTGATTGCAATGCAGACAGCTTGCCAACAACGTTTTATAGTTGAACAAGAATTATACTTGGTCTTACAGGCTTGTAAAAATGTCTAATCAAGAAATGATTGGAATATTTAAATCTGGATGCTTCTTACCCCATGCTAATAAGGTGAAGGGTCAGATCCCAGCCATGACCCATTTTTCTGGACTAAGGTAGATGACTATACAGGTGTTTGAGAGTGGATTTAGGAAATCCAGCTGAGATCTTTACAGCAATGAGGGAACCCTCTGTGGAAGAAAATGCAAGTAGGGTTTTGGTGGGGGCCCTTATGCAGCACCTGAATATTTAAAGAAGTTCAGGGTTTCAGTTTTTCGCTTAGGTTTCAGACTGGACCAAAGCTTTCATCCATTATTGGTGAGGTTTGCAGTATCTGTGGCTGCAGAATGATGCTTCACTCATGCTTCAGTTGTGCAGGGCATTGGTGAGACCACATCTGCAGTATTGTGTACAGTATTTGTCTCCCATCTTGAGGAATTACGTAAATGTGTTGGAGATAGTTCAGGTTTCCTAGACTAAATGTGAAGGAGCTGAAATGTGCAGTTTGTCTTGTGAGGAACGATTGGACAGGCCAGTACCCACTGGAGTTTAGAAGAGTAAGAGGTAACTTGATTGAAACACCTAAGATCCTGGGGGTCTTAACAAGGTGGATATGTGAAGGTTGTTATTTCTTGTAGAAGATCCGAGAACTAGGAATCCTTGTTTAAAAATGAAGGGTTATCCGTTTTTCACAGAGATGAGAATTTTTTTGTCTCATAGAGGACTGTGAGTCTTTAAAACTCTGCTTCAAAAGTTGATGAAAGCAGAGTCTTTGAATATTTTTAATGCAGATGCAGATAGATTATTGATATGTATGGGAGTGAAAAGTTGTTGGGTTGGGCAGGGCTGTGGAGTATCAGATCAGCCATGATCTCATTGAATGATAAGCAGGTTTGGGGAGCCAAGGAGCTTTCTCCTATTCCTGCTTGCAGCCACCCCACCCCTCATGTTGCCTAGCCTTGGTGGGCCAATGGTTGAAGAGAGGGAAAGCACCTGAATTGACAAGCCCTGCCTTCTTGCATTGCAAGAATTGGGATAATGTAAATAGTGTTCCACTGTACAGTATTATAGTTTTATATAAATAATGTTATACTCTGGAACATAAGATTAAAGGTGCATTATCGTTAACTTAAAAGGACTGACAATTGTGTGGCTTATACAGGGACCTTTGTGCTTCTGCTTCACCCTGAAACTTACAAGGAACATTGGGATGAATTATTTGGTAATGTCTGATTTACCACCTCATTTATTACCACCCCTTCGCCCACATCTTTTCATTATTTAGATGGCCCTGCTCAAATGCGAACTATTGTTCAAAATATTTATTGGAGTCAGTAGTATTTCATTACTTCAGCACTAAAATGTTATGCTTCTGAATGGTAAGGTATTACAGACCCCAGAGGAATTGGTTTTAAAGACTACTAACACAAATAATTCAGAATTTCCCTTTCAGGAAATGTGTACACTTACTGCCAGAGTCTTCTGTGTCCTAATGGTGAGGTTGTCAGATAATCCCGGTGGAATTGGCTTCAAGGGTCGATAAAGACTAGAAACAGTGAATATAATAATGTACATGATATAGGAGAACATCCATATCAGGAAATACTTGTACCCAAAAGAATTCCACTTTTGATGTAATAACTCCTTCACTGGTTTAGCATCAACAAGTTTGCGAACCTACAAAAACAAGATCAATCAATGTCTATTCAATTTTTGATCAGTGTTTACTTCCTTCATTTTCAGCTGACCTCTCTCCTTCCAATGAGGTAACACCATAGATCATAATGTCTGCCATTAACAGTTCAGAAATACTGAACCTTAAGAAAACCTGTTCACAACAGGTTTTAAAAAGCATTAAAAAAGTGAAATGGATGAAATACTTTAAAAGCAAATCGGAACATCAAAGTTGGGATGAACAACATGTAGATCTACAAAATCTTATTTATAGATCTGAGGTGATAACAGTAACTACATGTTTTGGCATGGGGTCCTTTATGGGTACTGCAGACATTTGATACCTGCATGACCATTTCTTGAACCCCATAATGTAAGACTTCCAAACATGAACACAGATGGAAAGGTGCCAGTTTAAACGTGTAAATAGTCTTAACAGAAATCCCCAAGGCTTCTTATGCATCACCTTCCAAATCCACGACCATGACTAACTAGAAAGACAAGGGCAGCTTACATATGAGAACAACACCACTCGCAAGTTTCCATTCAAGTCACACAGTAACCTGACTTGGAAATATATTATCATTCTTCCAACATCACTGGGTCAAAATCTTGGAACTCCCTCCCTAATGGCATTGTGGGTCTACCTATACAAAATGGACTGCAGCGGTTCAAGAAAATTGCTCACCATCACCTTCTCAAGGGCTAATAGGGATGGGCAAAAATACTGGCCCAGCCAGCAACACCCATATCCCATGAATGAAGAATAAAAAAAGATCCTTCAGCAGAAATCGTGAAATCTCCTGTCGAAGTATGCTATATTATAGATCATCCATAAGATGTTTAAAATTATTTTAGTTTAGTTTTGTTTTAAAATAAGTTTTATTGGTAAGCACTGTGAAGAAAATATACTCTTTTGATATTGATTATTGGATAATTTTAACAGTCTCCGTCAGCTTTCCTGCTCCTCTGATGCTGCCTGGCCTGCTGTGTTCATCCAGCTCCACACCTTGGTATCTCAGACTCCAGCATCGGCAGTTCCTACTATCTCTTTCTGTAGTTCATTGTTCACTTTTAAAATACGGCACTAAGGAGCAGTGAGCTGTTCACGATCAATGCTAAGGAGAGGCATAAAATGTCAGACTTTGTTATATGTAATGAAACTAGTTCATTTAGCTTCATGATTGGAAGTTAAGACAATTAAGAAATTAGTCAGAGACTTTGAGGTTTGTGGCTTTGAAGTTGTAATTCTCACTTCAGGCTGAAACTATTAAATGAGCTGCTGAATGTAGAGTTCAAAGTGGGAGTTGTTACCATTAAGACCACAATGTTTACTAAATTCCATTCTCATTGAAAATGTAAATGTAACTTTTCACAATAGAGAATTCGAACTAATGAAATATGTAGAGCCATCTCGTGGAGAGGTATTGCATAATGGACAATTACAACAAAGTACAAGTAGATTCATTCCTTATGGTTACCTCACTATTCCTGCTTGTTGTTATGATATCCAGAACTGATTTTTGGTCACCCCATGTATCAATGTTGGTGAGATCATAAACACAGTAAGAAATTGTCCCCATTGTCCAATATATTTTCTTTTGTTTTTGCACCAAATAGTTGAACATCTACAGAAAGGAAAGCAATGAATGTATTAAACAAATGTAAATACATATTTAAAGATAATTTGATATTTTCAAATTTAGTTGTAATGCACTCAATCCATTGAAAATTGCTATGAATATCCCAATTTTCTCCTCATTGTGATTACAAAGCTGAGTTTGAATTACATTTAGCATTTTGGTCTGCTGTTAACATAAAAGCTAGGAGAAATCCCATTTCCCTGGAGGGAAAAGAGAGCCATGTAAAATCAATCTGAGATTGCTATTTCTTACTACAGCACTATCTGATTGTCTCCATGAGTATGGAAACTAGGTGTTATTAAAATGATTTACTTAACAATGTGCAAGTTTTTGGAAAAATGTTAAACACAAAAAAGTCCAATCTTCAATAGAAGTGACCATCTATCTGTCTCAAAGGGCAAAGTACTAACATTTTTACTTTTTAAAACCCCCAGTTCAGAGACTTAAGCCACTACTTCAGCTAAAACCCCATGCCTCCACACCACAGGTGCAGCCTGTAGGATAAGATGCTTAAAGTGAGACCCTTTCTGTGCTCCAGTATGAGTGTACCTTGGTGTTTTAGTGTGAGTTTGTCTGTTCAGATAATCACAAGACAGATTTCAAACAGTATCTATTAGCATTGTATACATTGTGATGATACAGCAGATAACTCTGCCCTAAGCTCCTCCGGTTCCAGCCTTCTAGCAGAGTCTCTCTCACTGATGATACTAAGGTCACAGTTCCATTAGATCATACCTCAGAGGCTGATTTGCATATTCATTGAAACCCATCTCTAAATTTGGTGTGGAGGTGCAAGTGTTGGACTGGGGTGGACAAAGTCAGAAGTCACACGACACCAGGTTATAGTCTAGCAAGTTTATTTGAAATCACAAGCTTTCGGAACACTGCTCCTTTGTCAGGTGAAGTGAGAGAGAAGACTACATGGACACAGAATTATTAGGCAGAGAGATCAAAAGATCACACAACTGGTGTGAGTGGAGTCTCGAATAATAAGTTACCAAGAGTGTTAGATGGTGTGAGTAAAGTGTCAACAGCTGAATAACAAGCGAAGGGATGATCTATAATCTGATTAAACGAGGCAGAGAGATAATTACAAAAAATTAAAAATAAGGTGGTGCTGGAGACAAACTAAATGACTGGAATAATATGATAGGTACAAGAGTTGCTTTGCCAAGGGTCTAACCAAAGTAATAAGTAATCCAAAACTGTACAAACTAAATAAGATAGATCATAACAATTTATCAAGGTGATGGTGTCAAAACAGAACAGTGAGAAAGATTTTACAGATACAGAACAGTGTAGTGGGTCACATGTAGCATGACATGAACCCAAGTGTTGTGGCTGTCTTCATGGTGCCATTGAAAAAAGAACAGTGTTCTGGCCAAGATTTATCTCTGGATCAATGTCATTAAAACAGATTAACTGATCCTTTACGTCATTGCAATGCACAATGCGCTGACCCATTTCTTACAATGCATCAGTGAATGCATTTCAAAACTGTAGTACTTTATTGGGACATCTTGAGACCACAAAATATACTCTAGAAGTGCAAATTATGTCTTTTCTTCCTAGTTGACTATTTGCAGACTTAAATTAATTTTTAATTTAATAAAGTCTTCATTTTTTGTACTTTCTATTTGTCTTGCTACAGTGAAAGAACCACTGTCTAAAATAATTTGAGAAGTCTCATCAAAATTTATAACTGTAGTTAAAGCTAACTGTTTCTTTTAGTTTAATACTGGGTCAAGGCAGCAAGAGCTGTACCTATCTTTTAACTCAAACAATGATGGGACTTATGAATATTGTTGGAGACAGCAGTGCAGGATGGGTGGATTTAACTAATATACACTGGGCTGATGTGCACCATGGGACATCAAAAGTCATCACGGGAGAAAATTATAAAGGGGGCAGTATCAATGGCTGAAAGGAGACAAACAACAAGCAAGATAAAAAGAGCAGGCAGGAAAGCATACTGAGAGCGAGAAAGTGGAAATGAACAGAAAGAGAGAAATCACGAGCATAGTTTTCCCTGAAGTTTTCAGGGTCCTGCTGTTCAGTTCAGTAGTGGGTCAGAAACCCGCACTGTGTGGGAAACAGCTAATCACTTCTGATTTTCCCCAAACTGGTCAATTAATGGCCAGGGGTTGGCTCAGCATACAAGGAATGGGTAGGCTCTCGAAATTGGAGTGCCAAAAGGATGCACTTCAGCTTGAAAGCAGAAGAAGAATATTTGGCAGGTAAGTGAAGGGTGCTACCTCATAAAATATTTGAAATCTGATGTTAAAAAAAACCTCTGCATCTATCTTGCCACCCAAAGAGGGGTCCTCTATACACGGCATCTCAATGCTGTTACTCAACCTAGGTAAGTGCAGAGGGACTCCAAGTGTGCCTGGGGCACTAAGACCCAGACTTCTGCTGGGAGGCCACCTCCACAGAGCAGTGGTCTTCCCTGCTACCTTTGGGGTTTTAATAGGCTCAGTTAGTATCAGCAGCTTGTGGAGCCTGTCACCCTCCCTATTCTACCTCTAGGGGAAAAAGGGTTGCACGGAGCCAGGAAGGTGGGATGTCACCAGTGGTGAGAAATTATACAGCCACCCACCTCCATGACCAGTTCCATTAGAGTCTACAAATGCAGCCCCATGTAACAGACATAACTGAAACAGAGAAATGGCAGGTTAAGAGACCAACCCATGAGTGAGATATTCTGGTGCCAATTTTCAATTTTAGTGCATATCAAGCAATCAATGAACAGAGCAATCGCATCAATAACACCTTAGACTTGTATTGCCAGTCCATTAGTACCAGCAAGAGGCCTGAATTGTTTTAATGGGCTGGATTATATTTCAGTCTGCTCCAGTTGAAAATCAAAACAACAGCCTCTTACCCCAGGATTGCAAGTCAGGTTAGTAATGGAAGTTCTTGGAAAATACAAGAATTAATGTAATCCAGACATTAATGAAATTCGGATACTATAGGTATTTTTTAACATGGTAAACTATAAACATAGAGAATTTACAATGCAGTAGGAGTTTAATTCAGTTCATTCTGCCTGTGTTGACTGAAAAAGAGACATAAGCCCAGTCCCCAAATCTTGGTCAAAAGACCAGCGGATAACAGCATCACATTGGATATCCAAGTATTTATAAAATGCAATGAGAAGTTTTCTTCACTGCTAGCCTTTTGCTAGTGAGTTCAAGATCTCCATGACCCTTTGAAGAAATTTTCCCAATGGTTTCATTTTTTTTCCTGGTTATTGGTCTCTTTGTTAAGGGAAATGTTTCTTCCTTTCACAATACTCGATAATAATTGTATATTGCCCTTCTAAATCTCATCGAAGGCCCACTGTATTCCAAAGGAAATAACCCCAGCCTATCCGATCTTCTCTTACTGCTAAAATTCTTCAGATCTGGTAATATTCTCATTAATTGACTCTCTCGTGTGATCATACTCCTCAAGTAAAATGGTGACCAGAATTGTGCATAATAGTCAATAGCAGTCCACAATGTGTTGCACAGTTCTACTTAACCTCTCTGATCTTGTAAAGATTTTTAAAACTTTGTTCAAAAATGGAAGTTTTATATTTAAACTAATCTTTCAACCTTACTGATACTTTGATTAGAGATTATGTACTATGGTCAGGGACTATCTTGGATTTGATGGGGCCATTCCATGATTGGACCAGATGTCCTATGTCCCTGGTTGTTTGTAGCTGGGACACCCTTTGTCCTGAATTTCTGAAACAGTGACTTGAAGACTGCTCATGAGCCTCTTCTTTCAGCTGTCCAAAGATGTTTAATTATCACACATGCACAGTATACACATGTGGCTGTCTTCCTGGTCTTGGTTCTGGAGCCCTGTCCACAGCACAGATCCTGATTACTGGACTCATCCCGGACCCATCATCTTAACGATAATGGCCAAATAATCAATCACTTGTAAGGAATTGAATAACTTGTCAAGTTAGTTTATTTAAAACAGTAAAACACATTACAAGTTATGAAGCAGACATTATAGCAAACCAAATAATTTCCATGTCTATAGTTTCTAGATACACAGCAAAATAGCTGCCAGGTGGGGTCACAACATTGCATACAGACAGCAAGAAAGATAAATGGAAATATAAAATAGCTTGTATACAGTGACAGACTGAAATGGATCGAGAGAGAGAGAGTGAGAAGAGAGAGGAACAATAAATATAAACCCTCCATTCCTCCCACTGCACATAAAGTACTGCCAGCACCCAACACCCTCACACACTCATGCCAGCTGCTTCCTCTTTACTCACTTCTAGGGTCTATCCAGCACCCACCTCTACCCCAAAGTTCCCATAAGCAAACTATCATGCCCCTACCCCAATGCAGAAGTGTCCCTTTTGCAATCCCAAGAATTGGTGCATTATTATCAACACTTATAATGCAGAAAATTCAGCAGCCAATTTGTGCACAACATGGTCCCCAAAAAGTAACGTGACAAGGAATAAATAATCTACTTTTGTAGATATTGTTTGGCTCTTTGAAATAATGTCACAAAAATTTTAACATCCACCTGAGAGGGAAAGTACTGTCTGAGTTTAATGTCTCATCCAAATGTTGAGAGATATCCCAGTTACAACTACTGCAGTATCATCCTTGATTTTGTGCTCCAATTCCTGAAATGTGACTAAAACTCAAAATTTCTGACTGATTACTGCCAATGGAGCCTTGACAAAGCCAGTATATGGGAAGAAGGAGAAGGACCTTTAACTCTTACCTTTATTTCCATACCAAGCTTAGTCGATGGATTCATATTATTGCAGAAAAGTAGCTTACTTACTACAAAGTCACCCTCAGCTGCTGCGAGCTTCAATGGAGTGTAGCCATCATTGTTCACAATGTTTTCAACAAACTGGTGATGTTTCTCAGATACAAGTGAAGTAATGAGATCATACATGGAATATGCTTGCTCTTTTTCTGGTTGTAGAACTAACACATGAAGTACTGTATTACCTGCAGAAAATGGTGCGAATTATTAATCACAATCATAGCAGCTTGTCTTCTGAATCAAGAAAATGTACATAAACGTTCACAGGAGAATAATTTCAATTGCCAAAGGGTGATTCTGATGGCTCACTGACTACATGAACCATGCAGTATGAATGTGCACTTTAAACATAACTATGCATTCCTGTGCTTAGAGTGAGTTCGCAAATCAAACTGAAGTCTTAAAAATAACTGAACTAGATAAATTCACGGTTGATTTGCATGTACGGTATTAGAATTAGTCCTTACTTATGAAGCCTTACATTTTCACTGCTAATGCAGAAAAAAAGAATTGGTAATGTCATGGTGATTATTTTATGTGCAGGTTTTAGGCGATACTAACTATGATGACATGGACAGCCCAGTGCTGTTCCTCGTGGCTACATCCTGGTCAGTTTTTTGACTAGACTGCTTCAACGGCAGCTTTAAAGACAGGGCAGGGCCAGGTCCGGGGGCTCCTTTTCGGTGGATGTTTCCATCGGCTTCGGTTTGGGCATCCCTGTGGCAGCATCGATGGGGTTCCGGTCCGGGATTCCAACAGGATGGGGAGTCTGTTCATTCAGCCCAGAGCTGTGAAATGGACTAAGATGGGCTTTGTCTTAATTTCTGTTTTTTTCTTTAATTTCTTTTTTTTTGGTGTACTATCGTGGAAGGACTGTTACTCTGAACTTTTTATTTCTTTATTTTTCTAACTTATGACTATGATTTTGTATTTTTGAAGATGTGTAATGCTGGACTTTTTATTTATTTACTTTTCTTTTTGTTCCCTAAGAATTTATACTCAAAAATCTGTAGCTAGGTACCATAAGTAGCAGCTTGTAAACCTTTCACTGTACTCCTGTGAGTACATGTGAAAGTAATACTAAGTTTAATTCAAATTCAAGATAAAAAAGTTAAAAAGAGCATATTTTGGGGAAATGATATGGCAACACTCTTACTCTGAAATTACTACCTGAAATTATTGAAATCAATGTTAATTTCAGGGGAATTTTATATAAAACTGAAGTTTTGTGGAGTTTCTCAAGTATGACCATGATCTATTTCCTGTTGTTTGCACATTTATAAAATGTGTAGCCGGGGTGGGGGTGGAGGAATTTTTAACTGAGAGAGTGATTCAAGTGGGCTGGAGATGGGGAAATTAGCAGCATGACCAACACTGACATTGTTAATTCAATGGAACAGGGCTAGGCCATTTAGAGAGTTAAGTTTGCTCTGATGATTGATTAGATCCTGGCTGATCATCTCCTCAATGGCATTTTCCTGCATTACCTCCAAACACCTTCAAGTCATTAATCTCCAGGAACCTACTGATTTGTGCACTGAACATGGTCAATAACTGAGCTTCCACAGCCCTCTGGAGTATAGAATTCCAAAAATACACCACTCCCTGTGTGAAGAAATACTGCCTCTTTTCTGTCTTAAATAGTCTATCATTATTCAGAATTCTAGGGAATACAGAACCAGTTTTCTCAATCTGGCCTCATAACAAAACCCTGGCATCCCAAGGATTAATATGTGTTACATTCTTTCTACGGGATATATATTCCTCCTTAGATAGAGGGACCAAAACGGTACACAGTACTTTAGGTGAGATCTCATCAAGGTTCTCTATAACTGAAGGAAGATATCCCAACTCCTGTTCTCAAATGCTATTGTGATTAATGTCTTCATAATTGTTTGCTGTACCTGCACGCTTAATGTTTGGTGACTCGTGAACAAAAACATCAAGGTTCCTTTGAACACCAACATTTCCCAACTTCTCACCATTTAAGAAACATTCTGCCTTTCTATTTCTTCCTCCCAAAATGATTAACTTCATTCATATGCATATTATTTTCCATCTGCTACGTTTGAGCTTATTCACGTAGGCCTATCAAAGTTTGCTTGAACCTCTTTGCATTCCCCTTACAAGTTACATTCCCAGCCTCTTCAGTATCATCAGCAAAGTTGGAAATATTGCAAATATCCCTATTTACACAAGTTGTGAATGTTGTAGGTCTAGAACTGGACTTGTAGGACACCAATATGAATGGCTGCAATCCTGAGAATGATCAAGTTAATCCTACTCTTTGCTTCATGTCTGTTAACCAATTCCCAACTCATACTGAGATAGTAGGAACTGCCGATGCTGGAGAATCTGAGATAACAAGGTGTAGAGCTGAATGAAGACAGCAGGCCAAGCAGCATCAGAGGAGCAGAAAGCTGATGTTTCGGGTCTGGACCCTTCTTCAGAAAATGGAGAATGGGGAATGTAAGGGGAATGCATTTTCTGAAGAAGGAGCCAGACCCAAAACATCAGCTTTCCTGCTCCTCTGATGCCGCTTGGCCTGCTGTGTTCATCCAGCTCTACACCTTGTTATCTCAATTCATACTTACATGTTTCCCCAATGGTCACCTAGCTCAGTTGGCTGGACAGCTGGTTTGCAAAGCAGTGTGATGCCAGCAGGATGGTTTCAATTCCCAAACCAGCTGATGTTACCATGAAGGACTCTCCTTCTCAATCTCTCCCCTCACTTGAGATGTGGTGATCCTCAGGTTTAACCACTACCAGTCGTCTCCCACTAATGACAGAGTTGCCCTATAGGCTAATAAGACTATGGTTACTTTATCTATTCCCCCAATTTCATATGCTCTAACTTATTTCCTGACCTTCTGTGTGAGACCTTATCAAAAGCCATCCAAGAATCCAAATCCATCGGATCCACTTGTTCATCTTTTTCAGTGCTACAAGCAATACCCTCACAAATCTCCAACAAGTTTGCGAGGATGAATTCCTTTTTATAAATCTATGGACACTGACCAATATTGCCATTATTTTCTGTATGACCAGTTATCTTGTCCATTATAATGGGTTCTAAATTTTTCTCTTCTACTGATGTCAAACTGATAGGTCTGTAATTCATATTCCCTTTCCTCACTTCTTAAATAATAAGGTTACATTTGCTACTTTCTGGCGTGCAGCAAGCTTTCCAGAATCTATAGAATTTTGAAAGATAGCCATCATGTATCCATTATCATACTAGCCAACTCCTCAACACCCTAGGATAAACTGTATCTTGTCTCATAGTTTATCAATCTTCAAACCAGTTAACCTTTTACTTTTTATAACCAATTTCTTTTAGTTTCTCAGTTTTGTAAGTGGCTTGGTTTCCTAATGCTTCTGCAAGATTGTCTGTGAGGATAGATACCAACTGACTGTTTAGAATTTCCATCAATACCCTGTCTCCACTATAGATTCTCTTGTCCCTACCTGTAATGGACACACTTTTGCCCCAGTAGAGCTTTTCCTTTTCACATATGTAAAGAAGCTTTTATCATCCATCTTTATATTCCTCGATAGTTTGCATTTTTATTCTCCTTTCCCTTTCTTAAACAGTTTCTTGGTTGTCCTTTGTTATATTTTAAGTTGCTCCTAGTCTACAGGCTTACTTCCTTTTCTGGCATCCTTATAAGCCACTTCTTTTAATTTTGCGCAATCTTTAACTTTTATTAACTGCAGTTGATTTACCTTTCCTTTTGAGTGTTTGTGCTTTAGAGGAATCTTTTGTTGCCATAGTATTTATTAAAAACTAGCCACTACTGTCTATTATCAAATCTTTTATGCTTTCGGTATCATATTAAGGACACTCATGTAACTTATTCGAAAATGATTGGAAAGATTTCACTTGCTCCAAGTTTAGTTACCTCCTGAGGCATAATTTCCAAAGATTTATCAATAAATCAAATTTATCAATTTAGAGGACTGTGCCTCTGGCAAAGTTGTCTGAAGCTGTTCAGTAATTTTGCACCAAGTACACATTCACCATGATAGGCATTCCACTACCCATCGGTAACAAATACATACAAATGTCTTCATTGCCAGGGAAAACAAAAAGCTAAAGAACTGCAGATGCTGGAAAGCAGAAACAAAACTAGAAACTGATGGAAAAAATGATGGAAAGAAACTCCGCATCTGTGGAAAGAAAGCAGAGTTAACATTTTGGATTCAGTGACTCTTCTTCAGAATGCCTGAAGACCTGCTGAGTTTTCCCAGCAATTTCTGTTTTAGTTTGTTCATGATCAGGATTGATTTTGTTGATATTGTAAACTGGTTTTATTGTTTTATTGATACAGTGAAATATTTCTCTATCTTATTTAGGATTGCACAGTAAACATATGAAAATTATAAATCCCAATCAGCACTGGAGCATTTTCTTTTCTTTACAGACCTACACAACAGATTCAAATCATAATAGTTACTGATAGCTTTTGTTTTTAGCATTGATCACTGTGTGGAAACAGTTTGCATATAAAATGATATCCAAGAAAATTCAAACTTGTTTCAAACAATTGAACAAGTCAATGAAGGGATAACGATAATTTAACTTTATATTTTGAAAGTAGAAAAGAAGTGTAAATCTTGAAAGCAAGAAAAATGGCCTAAGGCATTGCACAGAGCAGAAAGGCAATAGATACAAAACATTTCAGAGATGGACAATGACAGCAAAAGCTTAGTCAAAGAGATTAAGCTTTGAAGGTTATGAGGAAGGTAGAGAGACACCTAATGTTTTAGATACAAAGTTTCAGAGAGTAAAGGTGTTGCATGTTTGGTAAATATGGTAGATTGTCACTTTAAGAGTCTGAACACATGATGTAATGATGACATCATCAGTTACTTTAGGCAGGAAGTAGCTTTATCTAACCTTGTTGCCTGTAGAGTGAGTACCTCCTTAATTAAGCTCCAGTGGTTGCATATAACAAAAGTTGAGATATCTAATAACCAATTAATGAGTGGAGGAGGAGTAATGTAGATCTGAAGCAAGTATACACAAAAAGACATTTGCAGACAGTTTCAGAACTATTGGCACAGCACTGCTGCAGATAAATTTGAAGATAAGAGTTAAGGACATGATATAGTTCAGTGAGAACTTTATGCAAGACAAGACATGGAGATCTAAGCTGTGACTGAATTGATGAGGAATGGAAGTTTAAAATTAGGAACCTGACAAAAGGTGCTCTGACGAAATTGAGTCCAGAAAGCTGGAGTTGAAACATTTCAAGGATAATTACAATACAGGTTACAAATTTCAGTTCTTGGCTGAGCGACACCCTATCCTCAGTCTTCATCCTAACTTCAGTCTAAACCATCAAATGGTGAAAGGAATGGACTTTTCTAAATGTGTGTAATCAAAGGTAAGCAAAGGCTATAAGGAAAAGCCAGGGAAATATAAATTGGTGAGCCTTAAGTCAGTGGTGGGTAAGTTGTTGGAGGGGATTCTGAGGGATAGGATTTACATGCATTTGGAAAGGCAAAGACTGATTAGGGATAGTCAACATGGCTTTGTATGTGAGAAATTGTGTTTCACTAACTTGATTGAGTTTTTTGAAGAGGTGACACAAGGCAGAGTGATAGACATTGGCTATATGGTCTTCAGCAATATGTTCGACAAGGGTCTGCATGGTAGATTGGCTAATAAGGTTGGATCACATGGGATCCAGGGGGGCTAACCAATCAGATACAAATTTGGTTCGAAGGTAGGAGACAGTGGGTGGTGGTAGAGGGATGCTTCTTGTGACTAGGAATGTGCCACATGGATCAGTACTGTGTTCACTGCTTTCATCTTTTATATAAATAATTTGGAGGTATGTTTAGTAAGTTTGCAGATGACATCAAATAGGTGGAGTAGTAGACAGTGAAGAAGGCTATCTCAGAATACAATGGGACCTTGATCAGATGGGCCAATTGGCCGAGGAGTGGCAGATGGGGTTTGATTTAAATAAATGTGAGATGTTGCTTTTTGGTAAGGCAAACCAGGGCAGGACCTGTACAGTTAATTGTAGGGCTCTAGGGGTACACGTGTGTAGCTCCTTGAACGTGGAGTCACAGGTAGACAGGGTGGTGAAGAAGGCATTTGGCATGCTTGCCTTCATTGGTCAGAACATTGAGTATAGAAATTGGGATGTCACGTTGCAACTGAACAGGACATTGGTTAGGCCACTTTCAGAATACTGCATACAACTCTGGTCTCCCTGTTATGGGAAACATGTTGTTAAACTTAAGAGGGTGCAGAAAAGCATTACAACAGGGTGTGAGCTATAGGGAATAGGCTGGGGCTTTTATCCTTGGAGGATTGGAGGCTGAAGGCTGACGTTATAGAGGATTATACAATCATGAGGGACATGTATAAGGTGAATAGCAAAGGTTTTTTTTTCCCAGGGTAGGGGAGTTCAAAACTAGAGGGCATAGGTTTAAGGTGATAGGGAAAAAATATTAGAAAGCACCTGAGGCGTAACCTTTTCACCCAGGGGTGGTGCATGTATGGAATAAGCTGCCAGAAGAAGTGGTGGAGGCATCTGGATGGGTACATGAATAGGAAGGATTTGGAGGGATATGGGCCAAATGCTGGCAAATGGGAGTAGGTCAGATTGGGATGTGTGGTCAGCAGGACATGTTGGACCAAATTCTGTATCCGTGCTGTATGACTCGGTAAAATATACATTCCTTAGGTAATTTAGGCACAATTCTTGAAATAATTACAGAACACTTACCTAAGGAATCCTGTGCCTCTAACGGAGCACAGTGCTTAATAAGAGTTCGGACAATCTCTTCATTGCCAATGCATGCTGCAAATGACAATAAGTATTCACCTGTGGGTAAAACAATATGGTCAAAAATAGACTATCCACTGTAACATCGAATTAAAGCTATAAACTATATCAGCTCATCAGTTTACAATCAACCATTGATGACCAGTGTGAAGGACAGTTTGAGTAGATTACTGTTAAGGTACGAAAATTAAAAATATGTGAAAGGAAGGATTATTCCCCACTTGACATTGTTTGAATGTTGCATGTCTATACTTAAGCAACATATAGTGCATTATTGCTGTGAAATCCATCAGACAAGGCCATAATCAGATCAGAATTTCAAAGAGAAATATGAATCAGGAATCAAAGTAACAAGCACCAAAGTTTGCTCAGTTAATATAATTGGTCATCTCTTGTATATTTTAAGGACACAATATATTACACAATATACACACAATATAATGAATTCCCAATTTAATCCGATATACAAATTTCCAAAATATGTAGGGATTTTCTACAGAAATTCTGCCATTCAGCCATCACATCTTCAAAGAAAATCCCCTGAGTACTCAAAACAATTAATACCAAAGTTATGATTGTTGAGCAAGTGAACTGCTGTGGAAGTACACTCCCATAATAAATATAGGCTATCTCCTGTTTCCTTAAGTGGGCATATATTACTGGGATATTGTATCAACTGTAGTCTGTGTCCTTTCTGATCTTATTTTGTCCATTTTGGATTTACACAGTCAGGCTCTGATTCCCTAGGGATTAATTACTTTTATTGTAGCTCTACTTTCTTCCTAATGAGCAGCAATAGAGCTCTTTATTGTTTTCGGTGATTGCTAGGGAACAATAGTGCAATTCTATCTTCTATAATAATCCTTGACATTGGAGCTGTTAAGAATCAGTACTATTTTCTTGATAAACCAGCCACTGTTTGAAAGGTCAGAAAACCATTTCTGTTTTATCAGTATTTTTAAAATAAATTGTCATCATGTATTTATTTGGTCAGAATTTGCTGTAGCTAATGCACAAATTCTACAGCAATTTCAGGCAACAGTCAGATGTACATATTAAACATGAATATCCAAAAGTTGTGCTCTTCTTCCTTAGCTTTGCAAAAGCATCACCCTGCCATTGAAATTAATTGAACTTCGTGAAATTGCTTTATTTGTGTATTATATAAAAACCAAACTCACCACAGAAAGTGAAGTCTTGTCTATTTCAGTCTAAATACTCTTTCAACAATGTAATATGTATGAAATACTTCTAGTCACCACTAAGACACAAAAAAATCTAAAAGTATGAAATCTCATTCTTTCAAGTATCAATTGTTGCAGATTTTAAAAATGGGAAGCTTTACATTTGACTTTTTCTTTCTTTGATTTTTTCAGAGTACATGAATAAGAAATGTTTGGAGGGATATGGGCCATGCGCAGGCAGATGGAACTAGTTTAATTTGGGAACATGGTTGGCATGGACTGGTTGGACCAAAGGGTCTTTTTCCATGCTATATGACTCTATGACTCTCTTTTGGTGCAATCTTTCATTCCCTTTTCTCATTTCTCTTTCTGTACTTGCTTTCTCATTGAATTTACCCATTGTATTTACAATCAATTTTTTTAGTCCCTCCATTGTCAATTTCACAATTTTACAGTCTGATTTTTCAGCAAGATATACCATTATTTGCCATGTTCACCCAGAACCCAGATACCCTGCACCATTTTTTTCCTGTGTTGTTAGTTCAGAAAGGATTGCCGACCAACTAAAACAAAATGATCGTGACATCCCAGGGTCTGGTGTCCTTGCTCTACGTCCAACCTCTGCCATGTTCTTGAGTGTGGTGATACAGCAGATCTTGGAACAGGTCAACTTTATTAAGGAGGTACGTAAGCAGAAGATGGCACTGAAGAGTGCAGTGCTCTGTTCCATGACGAGGTTGCCTCCTCATGCTAACATTGGACCTTCTTTCCCTTTCCTCATCGATGCCAGGCTACCATCTTCCTTGTGCCATTTCCCACATACACTGTCTTAGGACATCAGCTGCCTTGGTGATGGTTACAATGAGTGTCTGAACCTATCTCCATTTGTGTCCCCATGATCTTTCATTAAGCAAGAAAATGTCTACATGCCGGGAAACTCAAGGACTCAGTCAAGTTCCTAGTGGAGACAGGTTTAATCTAAAACAAAGTCAGAACTTCCTGTTGCCAGACTGCAGTGGGGAAATGCAGCCTTTGGCTACCAGTGCACACTTTCAGGAATTGCAATGTTAATATATAAGATGAGGAGTCTGATAGATTTTGAGATGATATAATAGTATGGATAGCGAACTGATTAATAGACAGGTAGCAGACAGTAGCAATAAATGGGACATTTTCAAATTAGCAGGCTGTTACTAGTAGTGTCCAGCAATCCACCTTTGGATATATCATGATTGGATACATTTAAGGTAAAGGTAGACAAGTTTTGGCGCTCTCAGAGAATAAAAGATCTGAGAATAAGCAGGAAAGTGGAGGTGAAGACTAGGATCAGCCTTAATCCTACTCAATTGCAGAGCAGACTCAATGGACCATAAGGTCTTTACCTGCTCCTATTTCTTGTATTCTGATATTTTTAACTTGCCAGACAATAAATCCAAAACCTAACTAATGGTGGATGTTCTCAAAATATACAACATTATGACACATTGTAGTCTAGTTCAGAGTAGTTTGTGTTACTTCCTGTATATTATTGAACATTACTCTTAGTTGGCTCTTTGTATTATTTATCTTTTTACAGACATAACACAATTACTAGGATCCCACCTTATCCATAAACATTTTGTTACTTCAGCAAACCTTACCACTGGATGATAGCTTGTTTTTAGATAAAAAGAAAGTAATTTAGTATTTTTTTCGAGATTATTTGTAACAGTTGTCCAATGTCATCTGAACACTTTGGCAAAAATTGTTCTGAATAGTTCTGAATTATAAATAGGTTAGAGGAAAATGAGTGAACAATTATAAAAATATATTCAAATATACCATTATACCAAAATGAACAGTGTGGAACTGGAGGAACACAGCAGACCAGGCAGCATCAGAGGAACAGGAAAGCTGATGTTTCAGGTTGGGACCCTTCTTCAGAAGACCCTTTTTCTGATTGGCAATTCCCTAGCTATTTTGACTTTGCTGTATATCCATATCATTTAACCACCATTCATACATACATTCTCCATACTACTGATGCCTTCAGTAGGCCAAGTGAATCCCTTATATTTGGTCAGAGGTGACATCCACCATTCTTCTGGAAGAATGTCAAAATCACAAAATTGATCTGACCCTCCAGTGAGTAGGTTTTGTCCCCGACTTCTGTTTAGCCACACCCTGTGATTGCCCTGATACTTATTTCTGAAAATCAGTATATAAATCCCTAGGATAGATACTCCAGGTCCATTACTTATTGTTGAGGAATGAGTGATGCCTGATGCTATGAGATTTTGTTTCATATTTGACAGCTATAGAAATAGAAAAGGAATATGAATTTCACTTCTGGCTCCAACATGCTTCAAGTATTGTTTACATATAAAAATACTACTTCACATTTTATGGTGTTTGAGTGCAGGCATAGAGTGAAGTGAATAATTTATAAGGAAACATTCAAAGGGTGAGTGAGATGTCTGAGAGAGGAAAAAAAAATTCATGTTGCATGTATTTTGCCGATCTCATTGATACATGAGGGTACTCTGACCTCAGTACATTTGCAGCTAGATTTCTGCTTCACAAATACATCATTGAGATGGCCTGTACTTCCTTCTCTTTGCTGTGAGACCTCACCTTTTTGGATGATGTCTTCAATGTCATATAGGAGAAACATCCTGTGCAGCATTCCTTTATAGAAGCACTTCTAGCAATGCATTACAAATATAATGGTTATATTTCTGTATTTGCACCATATGTCCTGCTCTCTCAGTTCTCCCCCAATAAGGCAAGCTCCTAATACTCAGGTGGTATTTTCCCAGATAGTATCTTGGGCATTTACCTTGGTATATGCCACCTCTGCCAACATATGGTACTGTGCAAGGGTTATTTGAGATAGTTCGTTGCCACCAATCTTTCTTTGTCTTTGTTTTGTCTTCAGCTTATCTAATGACTAGTGGTTGAGGATACTCCACCAATTAGTGTCTATACAAGGGGCACTGTCCTTAGATAACAAGAGGGGTTCTTGCATGATAGCAACTAATACAACTCGGACATAATTACTTGGACCTTAAGGAACTGGCACAGCTACATCTATGCTCTCCAAAATTTGGACAGAATTCCTTGCGTTCATCCATGCTGTGTTTGACATCATGTACAGACAACGTAACATGAATATTAACTCATTTAGAATCATTACCTTATACATAACTGACACCTTCCATATCAGCAACACATTGTGTGTATTAATAAACCTGACAAATAGTCAGTAGGTATAAAGCTCACATGTGCTTAGACCCTGCTCAATGTGTCAATTTAATGGAAACTTGACCAATTTTACTGTGGAGAATAAATGACACGTTACCATAGTAACACTGACATTCCTCTCCAGGGACAAAGCAGGAACCGGTTGCACGAGCATTCATCACATCAGCACCTCGTTTCAATAGTTCCTTAACCATTTCCACATCTTGTTTCAAAACAGCAATGTGCATGGGGGTCTCACCTATAGGATGAATAGAAAAAGAAATGAAAATGGCACTAAAGACAGCTGTTTTCTCAAAACTGGATAAAAAAAAAGCACCACACTTAAGATGTAAGTAATACAGTTTGCTGGTTCTTTTCTCATTTTGATGGAAAGTTTATTTCAGCTTGAGGAATGAGTGTTGACATTGGCTAACTGAAATGAAATTATTTAATTCCAGATGACCAAGATTCTTCAATCTGCTCAGCATGAAATCCAAGTCAGGAAAGAATGTTCAGATTATATTACTGAGCTTAAATATGTTCGAATCTTACAAAGGAAAGATGACTTGGTGACTATTAAGTAATAATTTTATCACTGCATAGCTAGTCAGCAATGTGGTAGTCTTGTGCCTTGCACATTAGGTTAAGGAGCAGAATTTCAGATTTGATTGCAAAATTGTGCTCAAAATGCGCTTATTATGTTACAGATTCAGTTACACTGAATTAATTTAAAATTAATTTACATTATCGCGAAAGCAAACTCTTCCGTGAACCATGTCATCAAGCAGCACGCTGGAATGTAATTGCTTCTTTGAGTTGAATATCCTGTTCTCACTGGTGGCAGGAAGGGCACTCGGTGATGGTATACCCAGACTCTGCCATCTCCCTACCTCTGCTGGAATGAAGTTCTGGATGGAAATTGTGACAGTCCAAACACATCACACAAACACTGCAAGAGGCAGAGGAGACTTTCATCCCACTAGTTATTACTTGTTTTGATCCACATGTTGGCCAATGTTTAATCATTTGCACAGTTCAGGGTTGCATCTCCGACATTTTTACCTCAGGTGCATATATTTAGACCACAAATTAGGTTCAGAAACAGTCAATATTAATATATAAGACCATGCTTTTTAATTAAAGAAAATCTATTTTCAGAGGAATGCATTGAGCATCTGTTAGTTAATATTGCAAAACATAACAATTAGTTAAATAGATCAAAATGAGCACTTATTTTGTCTTTCAAACATGTTGATTTTGGTAAATACATATCAAGTAAAATCTTCTTTCAATGAGTCTGAGATTAAAGTTCTAAAATAACAAATTGCATTTGCACAGTTTCTTTAACATAGTCAGAACTGACTCTATGAGCAATGAGAACACTATTATTATTTTTTACCTCTGTACATATCAGATGTCATTGGTTCATTGATCAGAGATGGCATCATATCCAGAATAAACTCCGCAATTTCCTTATTGCCATTTAACAAGGCAGTATGCAGGATTGTTTCTTCTAAATTCCCTTCAAATAATATTTTTGAATTTCAGTTTAGAACACATTCAAAATGAAATATAAAAACACTTGTGATATTATTTTACAAATAATATTTTGTAGTTTGAACAGATAAACATATGATATAAACATATAACAATAAATGTTTGTTATTGCTATATCTACCATTCTGAAAATTGGTATCATTATTCAGCCAGCCAGTCTCCACACTAACCAACATTCCCAGAGGCAGGATTTCAACTCCTAAGCAGCCTATAAGACTCTGTCCTTTATTAGCAAGCGGATTGTCATAAGATTGTGTCAGGGCTCCTCTAAACAGCTGAGGAAGGATTGTCCAAGTCTTTCTGGCCCATCATCAGGACCATTGCTGTTCCAACAAAATCTAACCCACTGTTTTAATTACAATAGCAGCATGACACCATACATTTAAGTAAACTCCTTGGCATTACTGACACTAACTGGGCTGTTTTTTCTATGATTTATGCAAAACAAGTGACCAATAAATTTATTTTAAATATAAAATCTATGTTTGAGGCTAAATTCACAAGAATTGAGTTAAGAATTATTTCACGTAAATTCTTGCTAAGCACTCTTTTTATAACGAGATTAATGAGATTATAATGAGATTAATGGTTTAGTAGTGTGACAAATGTGAAATTTTATAAGTGGGTATATATTAGATTGTTTCTTTTCATTCAACTTAAAATAGAAAACCCTTGAATCGGGGAATGGAGTGTGGGGACCGCATCGTCCTATGAAATTCATCCTGCAGAGTCGGAGGTCCAGGTCAAAACAATAAAAAATTAGTAGATATTTAAAAGCCAATCTTCACACCTTGATTCAAAAGAGGGGCAGGTGGTCTTGTAATATACAAACTCTCAACTCAGGAAGACAGTCAGAGCAGAGAGGGAGAGAAATGGTTGTTGTCATACCAAATAGATGGAAAGATTGTCCTTGTGTTATCCATGAAAGAGATTGCTGGTGAGAATAGATTCCCTGTTTGAGGGGATGAAACTCAGGGATGAGAAGGTTCCTTGCTGCTGGAGGTCAGTTCCATGATGCTTAGGGGATTTAATGAAGGAACTTTATAAGGACACTGAAAGACTCATCCTGGTTTGACAGGAAGACGGCTTTTTTGGAAGCTGGGTGGAGCTTGGGACCTTCATCTATAAAGTTAGATATGAACTGAGAGCATGGCACAATGTACAAATTTAGTGGGGTTTCCAGCTGTATTTATTAATTTTCAGGGTGATCATCTTTTCAATTGTTTTCTGTATTAGTTGACTATATGTTTAATTAACGTTGAATTTAATCCGTTTGCTATAATAAAGAAATTAAAATGTGAAGTCCAATCATTTGATTCAGTCCATTAGTCACTGGGAAATTAATTTCTCTTTTTACATGTTATTTATTTCACTTCGTTACCAATGGATGATGCCATTGACTGACTGTGGCAACAATCCCTGACTGAATACAATCTTCCTTGATTTGACCAAGAGCTAATCTCGTGGCACTTTCAGACACAGCCATTTAGTGGAAATACATGTCACGGGCTGATGGCACACACTGTAAATGTGTCATTGACATAGCACGGTTACATACAGCAACATGTCCACCGCATTGACTGATTACTGCCGGCAACTACGAGAAGTTACTTGGCTTTGTGTCTGTGCTAAAAGGCAAGACAGAAATACCATGAGACAACAAGGTGCAGGGCTGGATGAACACAGCAGGCCAAGCAGCATCATAGGAACAGAAAGACTGACGTTTCAGGCCCAGACCCTTCATAAGAAAAGGGGGAGGGGAAGGGGGTTCTGAAATAAATAGGGAGAGAGTGGGAGGCGGATAGAAGATGGATAGAGGAGAGGATAGGTGGACAGGAAACAAACAGGTCAAAGAGGCGGGGATGGAGCCAGTAAAGGTGAGTGTAGGTGGGGAATTAGGGAGGGGATAGGTCAGTCCAGGGAGGACGGACAGGTCAAGGGGGCGGGATGAGGTTAGTAGGTAGGAGATGGGGGTGTGGCTTGAGGTGGGAGGAGGCGATAGGTGGTTGAGACTTTAAGTTCTGAATGATGCAGCAATGCATTAAAATGCAAGGCAAGGTAGTAGTGTTCGGAGTACACAAGAATGCGCAAAGTGAATGCATGCTGAAACTGTAACCTAAGATTTCCGAGATGCAAACTGCTCCAATGCATGTGATGGTTGTCTGTCTCTGTGTTCAAAGAGACCTGGCAGAAGCATTGCAATGAAAGGTGTCTGTGAACTCGAAGTGCAATACTGAAGTGGTCAATTGCCTTACAAGTGAGTCAAAGGTGTGGTGAGCCTGATGCTTTGATGAGGCCAACCTCTGTGGATGCAGGATGCAGGCAGTTGGTCCCCTTTAAGATGTTAGGGACTGCCAGCCAAGGTGGATGCCTAGAGGAGCAAGTGGCAAGCTGGGGTCACCAGGTACTCACTCAGATTTCCATGTCAGGAACTGTCACTACCTAGTTTATTTCCCCTGCCTGGAAAAATAGCAAACTGCATATAAAAGGTTAGGTGATATTGAGATGTTAGTGCATATAAATAGGCCCCTTGCTGCTCACTATTAAAACCTTGGGTGGTAAATCTGATTTTTTTTCTTTGAAGTTGAGAATCTTGTTTTTCCAATCTCACCATATGTTTCCAAACCGACTCATCATTTGCAGATGTCATTCAGGAGCTGAGAAAATTCCTCTTTAAAGGACAGATGAGGATCAAGGTAGGTGTTAAGGATCATCTCAAAGGTGAATTAAGTGATAGAGGCAGAGAGGATAGTTCTGGAGTCTCATGCTGAGGTAGCTGAAGGACAACAAAGGGGAGGATTGCAATTGATTCTGCTTTCTGTAGCGAGCTCTGCAGTAAACAACATATGTAGTTTTATGTGCAGCTGATGACAATTTTATGACAATGTGAGGCTTTATGTCTCAACCAAAACAATTACGGGGTGGTTTGGTTGATTGCTGCTTGAAAATGCTGTTGGTATTCATCAAGTCATACGAGTCAGTATCTTCCAGAAAATGGGTAGAAAAGGGAAAACAAGGATTTTTAAAAAGGTCAGCTTAGAATTAAAAATAAGAATTATTTTTAAAAATCTTTGACTTTGAAATCATAGTTTCAGGAATTCAAAATGCTTAGTATTAAGCTACTTAAAATGATAACCTAATTCTTGCCATGCTTATGAATGATCTTATTATTAGGAATTATATCTTGGATTAGCTGTGATCTTACTGAATGCCAGAACAGACTTTAGGGCCAAGTGCTTTTGTGTCTTATGGTTTTATGGTACTTATTATTTGCAATCTCTTATTCGTGAGAAATGTTTTGTATACCATGAATTTGTACTTAGAGCTCCTGACGGTATGAATATATTGTTAAGCTGCATTGGTGGATCAACACTGAATAATTGCAATATGTTTGTAAATTGCAATTTGCAATTTTAGTCTTGATATACCATGCCTGATATGTTGGTTTCTAAATATTATATTACTAGGCTGTTATCAATAAATGACTATTAATATCCTAAATTGACTTTCACAGATTAAAGTGTTTGTGTTGGCTGTTACTATTAAAGAAGTATTTGTAGAACATTAGATATTAATAAATTGCTTCTAAAGAAGAATAGAGCTGATTAATGGATAGAGCGAATTAACGGAGGCTTGAAAGCCTCAGTCTCCATGATGTAATGTCCATGATTTCAGCCAGGGGTTGACTGAAAGGTTCAAATCAGAAACAAGTCAAGAAGGCAGATGGAAAATAAGGGTAAGTTAATCTGGATACTTTTCATACTGGAGCTAACATTCAATTATCAATTGATTTTAGCAGAGGAAATTTCATTCCAACCTGGTGATATGCAGGACAATTAAAACTGGGAAGAAAAATTAAATTACAGATAGTAATAGTTATGACTAGAATTAATTAAGATACATTAAACATACCTCGAATGGCAGGATCAAAATCTTTACTTGTCAATAAGGACTTCATACTGACAGTGTCATTTATGTGAGCTGCTTTAAAAAACTCACTTCCATGCCTGAAAAATCACATTTTTCTCTTATTTATTCAAAGAACAAAACTTTAAGGTAATTTCAAATCTATTTCAGATGCATTTGATGTCAAATAATCTTAAGTAATTATAAAAACGATCCATTTTCTCTTTGATATGCAGGTTGTTTCAAGAATCAAGTACCAGGATTTTTAAATTTTGGAACTGTGGTGTAGATATTTTCTAATCAACCTGTTCAGAGATGTTATTGCATGCCTTTGGAGCAGGTGGAACTTGAACGATTGACCAAAACTAACAATATAAAGGGTATCAAAATTGGAACCAAGAAGCAGAACTTTTTTTTTGCTCAAAGTACAAATTTGCTTAAAGATTTACAATTGACTCCTTTCTCAGGTGTATCAGTTAATACTGCCGCTCTTTTGTTCCCCCACCACCACAAAAAACAATAAGGTCTCCAATATTCAACTTAATTGTTCCTGCAAAACAAAAATGACTTGTTTCAGGTGGTGAACAAGGCTCTTGATGGAAGCTCAGATTTAGAAAACCAGTCCGATTATTTAAAAAATAACCCATAGCCATTCAATTTTAAATTAATTTTTCATATGTGAATGGAATAACCAAAAATATAAGTAGGGATATTCAAATTCTCTAAACCAATACAGTTTCATTTACTGGATGTTTCATTGTAATCTCCTGACTTCTTTGAATCAGATACTCTTCCCCTATAATATGCTCTCCAACATTCAAACTAATGCTTTTGCAGATTATATTATACCTCAACATTGTTACATATTTGTTCTTAAGGTGTTCTTTGTTTCTTACCTTGCCGTATCATTCATGTTCACTGTGATATACATGTGGACTCTTTAATTTACTTTTAGCAGCTTAACTCCTGATTAATTCCTTTAAAAAGAGAGGGGATTATATTTGATAAACATTGCTTCAAGAACAAACTTTTTTAAAACAAACTCCCTTTAACTTTTTTTAATGTTTCAGTGAAATTTGTGAAATTGTAAGCTTGTGAAATTTTTGCAAATTAGATATCCTCAAAAATTCTTTAATAATAATACTAAATATAACATTCCTATAATTTTATTTATAAAATAATTAAAATCATTTAAAAATAATCATATGCAACTATTGTGCATCACCCATTGATTTAGTTTGCATTAATTCCATCTACAAGCCATTTCAACAGACTGTCCTTTACTATTTTATTCAATTAAGATTACTAAGAGTTATTTGCTTTATCCTTATAAACATCACGTACATGAAGCTACTGAAATTTAACGAGTGGTATTATACTCAACAATGCGTTAAGGGTTGAAATATTGTTATCGGAATAAAGTGGCATAACAATTCAAATGTGCCCATTAGTTTAATATATAAAAATGTTCCCTTGAATCCGATATTATTACAGCGATGAACACCAGTTTATCAATATCTGCCTCTGTTTGAATCCCTGAAAATTATAGAGTTTTCCATTGCTATAACTTGACATTCTGAGCTTAATCATCATCGCATTTCTGACTAATGAAACCACAATAAAGTTCCAAATTATTCCAATTTTACTTAAGCTATTTATTTTTCCATCCTTGCCACAATTAAAAGCCAATATCTGAACTATAATATAAGTCAAAACTTTGCTGTTTTCTTCCCACAAATTACTTACTGTCAAATTAACTTGAAAATAATATTCTGGCTTGGGAACCACATTTTAGGTCATATGTCTAAATCTTGAACATTATCTTAAGATGTTTATAGAACTTTTAACAAGAATTTCGCAAGCTTTAATAAACAACTTCCTGAGAACTATCAAACTTAGAATTTTTTTTTCTTCTGAAGAGCTCATGTTTATCAATTTGAAGAAGATTGTCTTAGTGCGTACTGGCAGATTGAATATTCTTACCTTAGGTTCTCTTCTTGATCATGCTTGTATAAAATCTTTCAGTGCAGTGTGTTATTGACTACAGAAACAACCTTAAAGGAGTGACTTTATCTGGCTAATTGTTTTGGAAATACATAGGTCAACTTCTTGACATGTTTTCTTTTTTTTTTGGAAGGCAATTTTATTGTTTCAGTAACTAACAATAAACAGAAGGAATAATCTCCAGCAGGAATGCTTGAATAGATTTCTAATTATTCAGTTCACTTCCAATGAACATTTTCATCAAAAACATATCATGATTCAGAGGAAATGTGATAGAATTTGGTGACTTTCAAAATTAGGTCAGCAACCAAATGCTATGTCTCTTTAAAAACAGATTTTAAATAAAATATTTGCATAATGTTGTGTAACCAAATTGTACAAAATCCTTACATGGAACGATATCACCATTCCTCATTGTCACTGGTCTAGATTCAGGAGCTCACTCACTAACAGTGGAGTGGGTGGACCTGCAGCAGTTTGATTGCAACAATTCAAAAAGATGACTTGGCACCATCTTCTGAAGGGCAATTAGAGATGGGAAGCAAATAATAATCTTGCCAATGATGCTCATGTCACATGAAAGGATAGAAATAATTGAGAAAACTCTTTACCATTGATAATTTTTATTCAGCTAGATTTCTTTTTAAAATATGCATTAGTTGGTAAAATTATGTTGGTATTAAATGGGTTTAACTGCCAAATAGAGACATAGAGTACAAAAGCAAGGAAGGTATGATAAATCTTCATGAAACACTAGTTTGAATTCAATTGGTACATTGTGCCCATTTCTGAGCAAAACATTGGACAAATGAAGATGTTGAAGAGAGTACTGAAAATGTTCATATTCCAGAAATTTCCATTATATGGATTGACAGGAAAAGCTCAGGATTTTCTCACTGGAGAAGAAAAGATTAGGAGGAGTTTCAATAGAGACATTTAACAGAATAGATAGAGAGAGGCTTTTCCTGCTGGTTGAAGATCAAGAAGCAGAGGACACCAACTAAGATGATTAACTAAAGGAACAGTAACAATGTGACAAAAAATATTATTATGCAGTGATTTGTTTGGACTTGGAATGCATTGCTTGAATGTGTGAAGGCAGATTGAATTGTGTCTTTCATAAGAAAATTGAATAATTATCCACAGAAAAAAAAGAGGTGTTGTAGGAAAATGCAGAGGAGTGTGCTAGGAGAGCTAGCATGGATGCTATATGCCATATTGCCTCCTTCTGTGCTGTAACTATTCAATGATTCTACAATTTCTGATGTACAGCATCTGGTTTATTGAATTCTAACTGAAGAACATTTGAAAATATTAGAATGTTTATTAAAATTAATCCAAGAAATGGATACTTGTGTTCCTAGAGATGCTTTGACTAAAACACACTTGGAGAAACAGAACTACCAATTTTCTGTTTCCCTTTAGGCATGGGAAAATATTTTGCTCCAATTTGCATTGATTATGAACAACACACTGTTTGTAAAATAGAAAGACAGATGAGAATGATTCTGAATCAGAAAAGAGCAGAAAAGGCATGCAAGGGCAAGTCAGAGAATGAGGTAACTCTGAAGAATTAAACTTCATTTATTTCAATGCAAGGTTCTTAAAGGTATTGCTGATGAACTCAAGGCATTATGGGAACATGGGACTGGGATGTCATAGCTATTACAGAAACATGGCTGAGGGAAGGACAGGACTGGCAGCTCAATGTTACAGATTTTAGATCTGTTAGGAAGAACAGAAAGGGAGGCAAGAGAGGAGGTAGAGTGGCATTTTTGATTAAGGAAAACATTACTACTGTACTTAGAGAGGATATTTCTGAGGGATCATCCAGTGAAGCTATATGGGTAGAAATTAGAAATAAGAAAGGGATTATTACCCTGATGGGATTGTGCTATAAGTCCCCCAATAGTTAGAGGAAAATTGAAGAGCAAATATGTAGAGAGATCTCAGATATATGTTTGAATAATAGGGTTGTAATAATAGAGGATTTTAATTTTCCAGACATTGACTGGGACTGCCATAATGTTAAAGGTTTGGATAGTGAGGAATTTGTTAAATGTGTTCAAGAAATTTTCTTTATCAATATGTAAATGTACCTACCAGAGAAGGAGTAAAACTTGACCTTCTCTTGGAAAATAAGGCAGGTCAAGTAACTGAAGTGTTAGTAGAGGGGACACTTTGGGACTGGTGATCATAATTATATTAGTTTTAAAATAGTTATGGAAAAGGATAAGCCTTCCATAAAATTTAAAGTTCTTAATTGAAGTAAGACAAATTTTAATGGTATGAGACAAGAACTTTCAAAAGTTGATTGGACTAGACTGTTTGCAGGTAAAGGGATGACTGAAAATTGGGAGGCTTTCAAAAGTGTGATAATAAGAGTTCAGAGACATTATGTTCCTGTTAGTGTGAAGGGTAACACTGGTAGCAATAGGGAACAATGGATGACTAAAGATATTGAGCTTCTAGTCAAGAATAAGGAAGAATCATCCTTATTAAATTTGGCCTATTAGTTTTCAACTCTCCTCTGAAATCAAGTCAAGTAGGCCATTCAACTCTATCAAGCCATTAGAATTAAACTGGAAAGGAATGGAATTGGATGGCGCTTCCAGCACTGACCTAGGACCACACCTGACAAAGGCACACCCAGCTCAGATAACCCTGAAAAGTACATTTCAATAATTCTGTAAGTTCTGGGTGATCTGGTCAAGCAACAGCCTGACATAGTCCCACTCACAGAGTAATTCCAAACTCTTCCTATACCATCCCTGGGTATGTCTTGTCAGCAGAACAAATCCTCAAAAATGTTAGCACGGTAATATTTCTACACACTAGTGAGGGAATGACCCTGGGAATTATCAAGATTGATGATCAACCATCAGGTCAAACATTGGCAAGAAAAACCTTCTGCTGATTACCACCTACTGCCCTCTCTCAGCTGATGAATAAGGAGTCTTCTCTGTTGAACACGACTTGGAAGAAGCATTGAGGTTAACAAAGACACAAAATGTAGACTGGATGGAGGAAATCAATGTCCATTATCAAGACTGATTTGGTAGTCCCATTATTGACTGAATCATGAAAGACATATCTGCTGGACTGGACCTGCTGTGATGAGAGAGTCAAAGGAGGGAAAGATCTGGTTGACCTCATCTTCACCAAATAATTTGACATAGATACCTCTGGATGTGATTTGATGGTAGGGATGATCACAGTAAAATCTTTGCAGAGATGGAGTCTTGTCTTCAAATGAAGTCACTGTTTTATAGCAGCGTTTCCCAACCTTTTCAGTATCAAGGCACATTTCAATGAGACAAAAAAATCCATGACACACCCACTTTTTTCAGTTGAATTGATTGCTCATAAATGACACATTTACTTGCATTTACTATGGCTACAGCCTTGCTAAAGAGGTTTGTGACACAGTGCACACAATATGCTAAAGCAAGATCAAAAGCATTATTGTTTCAAATCCACTGGCAAAAATACACTATCCCATCAACCAACCGAACACTGCCCTTATATTTGTGGACTCGTCAATCAGCAAAGGTAACTTCTCACTAGTAGCCAACTTCACTTGCAACACTTCCTTGATATTAGTTCTCAGGGTTTTCTCATATCATGCCGCCATTTGCTATTTAACTGTATTATCAGAGAGTGGAATTTTGTTGCTGACTTTGCACCTTCAGCTCCCGCCGTCACACCTCCGATTTTTTTTACATGTAAACACATTAAAGTTTCGGCAACAGTATGAGGCTTCTTTGATTTTGCCAGAAACTCAGCCATCAAGTAACTAGCCTCTTGAGCTTTATTTGATACCTATGCACACTCCATCAGATATTGGTTCTACTTTGTTTTGTTCTCTCAAGCTCTTGAAATACTGAATGTGTTTGTTTACAGAGCTAGATGTTTCATCTTTAATGGGGTGTCTTAACTTACTTGGTACCATCTA